GTCGTCAGGAACATTTCCTATGGCCCTAAAAACAGCAGTCATAAGACCTCTCCTAAAAAAAGAGCAGTCTGGATCCTGCGGGACTTCAAAATTATCGCCCCATATCGAATCTGCCATTCATTGGAAAAATTCTTGAAAAAGTGGCCTCCCAACAACTTACTGAATTTTTAACAATGAATAATTCTTTTGATATGTTCCAGTCTGGGTTTAGACCCCACCACAGCACTGAGACCGCTCTAGTGAAGGTAACAAACGACATTCGACTTCACACTGATGCAGGTAAAGTCACAGTTTTGGTCATGTTAGATCTTAGTGCCGCGTTCGACACTGTCGACCATGAGATCCTCATGCAGAGACTGGAGGACTGGGTTGGTGTCACTGGCACAGCCCTAGACTGGTTTAGGTCTTACCTGGAGGATAGGAAGTACTTTGTGGAGATTGGAGACTGCGTCTCAGATCATGTGGCCCTGACCTGTGGAGTACCACAGGGGTCGATCCTGGGACCTCTCCTATTTAATCTCTACATGCTGCCGTTAGGTCAGTTAATACAAAGAAACAAAGTGTCCTACCACAATTACGCCGACGACACTCAGATCTATGTCTCACTGACTGCAGGAGAACATGGACCACTGGATTTGCTCCTTCACTGTATCCAACAGATCAGTGAGTGGATGCAAAATAATTTCCTCCAGCTAAATGCAGACAAAACCGAAATCATTGTCTTTGGTCCCCAGAAACAAAGAGAGGGCGTCATCTGTCAACTTCAGTCTCTCTCCCTACTTCTTTCAGACAAGGTCAGAAATTTGGGGGTAATACTGGACTCAGACCTAAATTTCAATAGCCACATAAAATCAATAACATCAACAGCTTTTTACCATCTGAAGAACATTGCCAAAGTCAGAAATATAGTGTCCAGGGCAGACTTGGAGATTCTTGTCCACGCATTTGTCTCCAGCAGGCTAGACTACTGCAATGGCCTGCTTACAGGTCTGTCCAAACAGACCTGTAAGCAGCTGCAGTACATCCAAAATGCAGCAGCTAGAGTCCTGACAGGAACCAGGAAGTATGACCATATTAGTCCGGTCCTCAGGTCTCTGCACTGGCTTCCTGTGGCTCAAAGAATAGATTTTAAAACAGCTCTGCTTGTGTACAAGTCTCTCCATGGCCTTGCACCAGAATACATTAGTGACATGTTGGTGTCATATGAACCAGCCCGGACTCTGAGGAGCACAGGGACTGGCCTCCTGCTGGTGCCCAGAGTGAGAACCAAACATGGGGAGGCTGCGTTTCAGATCTATGCAGCTAAGATCTGGAACAATCTCCCTGAAAATGTGAGGGAGGCGTCTACTCTGTCAATGTTCAAATCCAGGTTAAAGACTGTTCTGTTTGCCTGTGCATACAACTGAAGGATTTTATCTCCATTTGTAATGCACTGCTGTCATTTATTTATTTATTTTTTTAAATTTCTTGTGTAACTTTGAAAGTGTTAATGGTTTTATTCTTTTGTGTGATTTTATTGTTTTTATTGTGTTTTAATCTTTTGTGTGATTTTAATGTTTTAATTGTGATTCTGGTGTTTGTTTTATGTGATGATTTGTGATGTGGACTGTGAAGCGCTTTGTGTTGCCCTGTGCATGAAAGGCGCTCTACAAATAAACTTTGATTGATTGATTGAATCATTTTTTCAAATTAGTTTTTGACTTTTTGATTTTGTAAGTGGTGACTGGTTAAGTTTTAGGCGTCTGAGTAAGATGGTTAAGGTTAGGGTTAAGGGTGGGTTGGCGTTATTTTATGGGAATGTCTGGTTAAGTTTAGGCATGAATAGGTAGCTTGTTATATTTACTTCCGCTTCCGTCCCGATTCCGTATATGATCTAGTGCTGACCTAAAAGCCAAGGGATAGCATAGGCAGGAAGTGAACGGGCTGATCTGCATTAACAGGATATGACGTCACGCCTCCCTGTGCATATAGCCCATCGACAATTTCAACTCGGGAAATGCAGGGGAGGTTCAGTTCAATCAAACTCAATTCAATGCTCAAAAATACCTTGAAAAGAAATCTCTAAAACACACACTGTAGGTGCCATTGGGAGCGGGATGACCACAATTCATAAAGTAACTGTTAAGCAGCAAAATGTATAATGTTTTCTAATAAACGACAAAGACAACATTTTGTGGTCTATTTCTTCACAGAGTATTGCTTTTCACTGGACTATTTCTATTTGAACAAACACAATACATTTATGAAATAGGGAAGAGAACCTCTGACAGAATCCCACAATGATATTCTGTTTTGGCCTCATTCGCACCGCGGCAGACAGAACAGCCATATTGCTCCCCTTATTCTGGTAATCCCGTCCCTGCGCTGCTCATTTAGCCTCATTACAAACCACTTAGGGCCCGTCTGATCCCTGTTCGTTCTAACGGGACATGACTAAACAAAATGGAGATTATCATTCGACACGGCCAACGGAGCCAAAGCAGCATTTACACGTCAGCCATTGTCATCGCCCTCCGTCTGATTATTCACTCATATTTACCCGTTTCTGCACATGATTCAATGGCCGTCTTTGTAACGCGTTGAAAGGAGAAAGAGGAGGCAGGTAAAAGGATTGAGAATGGAATAGTAATATATAATGTGAGAGGGCTTGGAGCTAGCTGAATAAATGCATAGGTTGGATGTAGTGATGTTAACAAAACCAGGAAAATTCTATTCAAATTCAATTCAATGTGTTTGTGTACAGCCCAAAATCACAACAGCAGTCGTCTCAGAGGACTTTACAAAATTGTAGATTCACCTACGACAGATCAGAAAGGACTCGAAACCAAGAGGAAAAAAGTGAAAAACCTCCGGAAGGCCCCTATTGAGAAAGAGCTCCCTAACTCCAGGACGAAATAATCTATCTATGACAAAAGATGTGACAAGAGCCAGTAATAAAAAGGAGAACTAGTGATGTTGGGGGAGTGATGAACTACCGATTTTGATACAAAGTAAAATTTCTGAGTCATGGAAAGTTATGCACCCCAGCTTTAATTTATAATAAAAGCTGGGGTGCGTAATTTATAATAAAAGCTGGGGTGCGTTTCAGTGTTTGAAATAGGCTTTTTGTGCACTGTTATCATAGGTTTCAGAATCATGGAATTTAAACTAAATGATTATAAATATTTGAAGAGGGGAAAGTCCTGAACGTGTTGCATAAAACAGGAAGCTGAGCTGAACTAAAGAGCCGCATGTCGAGTCTCAGCCTTGATTCTGCTGCCACCTACTGGACAGAATACTAAATTACAAGCCTCAAATAATTTGACCTTTATTCAAAATCTACGATGATTTATAGATAATATATACTTTATACTGCTTCTGCCTATTCGTTTTTGTAGTTTATTATATTCTATAGTTTTAACTGAATCTTTGTTGATGAGATGACCAAAATAAAACAATCAATAATTTATAAATAAACAACAATAGCAAAGTTTGACAGCAGAGACATCTTTGTATTACGTTATATACAGTACAGACCAAAAGTTTGGGCTCATTCAAAGAGTTTTTCTTTTTCATGATTATGAAAATTGTAGATTCACACTGAAGACATCAAAACTATGAATTAACTGGAATTATGTACATACTACAGCAGTGTCTCCCAAAGTGGGGTCCGCGGCCCCCTGGTGGGCCGCGAGGGTACTGGAGGGGGGCCGCGGGAGGTCATAAAAAAAATAAAAAAAATAATATTATTATTTAATGTTAAATTTATAATGTTTTGTTTGTAATATTAAAATATTTGTGTTCATTATTTGACTTGAATAATCCACTGTAATCATTTTTGTATTACAATGTTTGTAGCAGAGGCTATTTCCCCAAAATAAAATAACCAGAAGAGCCTTTTCTTAATGTTGTCTTCTTGGTTATTATTTTGGGGGGCCACGCAGACCCTTCAGATTTTTAAGGGGGCCTCGGTGTTGCTAAGTTTGGGAATGGCTGTACTACAGTATGAAACAACTGAAAAAACAAAAACATTCTCGGTTCTTCAAAGTAGCTCCTTTTGCTCTGATTACTGCTTGGCACACTCTTGGCATTGGCATTGATGAGCTTCAAGAGGACCTGAAATGATCTTCAACAGCCTTCAAGGAGTTCCCAGAGATGCTTAGCAGTTGTTGGCCCCTTCGCATTCACTCTCTGGTCCATCTGGATTGGGTTCAGGTCTGGTGACTGTGGAGGCCGGGTCATCTGGCCCAGCACCATCACTCTCTTTATTGGTCAAACAGCCCTTACACAGCCTGGTGTGAATCTACAGTCAACAGTCATGAAAAGAAAGGAAACTCATTCAATGAGAAAGTGTTCAGTATTCTGATCAGTTACATTGAGATTTGTTTTCTTATACACTTCATATAATTCCCATAAAAAGTCCCATGTATAATGTTGGATTTAACACTATATATAATAAGAAAGATGTAGAGAGTGTATTTGGATAGAACAGTTCATAAACAATTTAAATCAACAACTCATAATTATATGTTAGGTTCAAATATTAGAATAAAGTATAAGGTTGAGGTTTTTCTTTTAGATAATTAGCTTTCTTTTAATTAGTATAATTGAGGTATTACACGCCATGATAACTCATATTAACCAACCATCAATTCTGCAAGTTATTGGCAATTAATAGTAAGTGAAGAACCCAGTATCAATTCTGCAAGGATAGTTTGAGCTCTTTGTCTGTGGCCAAAACTACTACAATCAAAGTTACAAACTTCACCCACAGAATTATTCACACTATGTTTTACGCGATAATAAAAGTGAAAGTAGTGGGTTTAATAGAATCTTTTTTGTCTATGTGAAAATTGACAAAGACGTCTTCACACAGACCACTTCCTGTTTTTTCTCTTCTCTTTTATGCAGGAAATCAAATCAGACACATCACCAAAAACGTGAGAAGACAGAACCATTGAATACTATTGTTTGTGAGCCAAAAGCAACTCTGGTGCACGGAAATTTATGCAGAAATTGAAATGGAGAAAGCGAAGAGTGACGTGGATAAAGTCTCAGACGGTAAGAATTTAACTTGATTTGAAAAAGTGAAAAAATTTGAAAAGTGAATATCTTTACTGTATTTTAAGATAAGATAAACCTTTGTTCGTCCCTCAGTAGAAATGTGAGTGTCATATTTGCACATTACAGCAGAAGGAAAGATAAGACTCAAACAATTAAAGATTTATCATTTAGGATAATAGATTAATAAAGATATAATAATCAGATAGATACTTTATTGATCCCCACGGGAGGAATTCAAGTGTCCAGCAGCAAAAACACATCCATTCATAAAAACAAAACACATAAATACATCATTCTAAAAGTAGCTAACAATAGTAGTCTCAGCAGCAGAGGTGGTGTAGCAGCGGCGACGAGAGCTCAGTTGGTAGAGCATTGGCCTTTGAGCCTGAAGGTTGTGGGTTCGAGCCCACCACGAGACTTTCTCCACTGACTGATGTCTGCTGTTGTTGTGTCCTTGGCAAGACACTTAACCTCTGGGAACACCTGATGCAACAGCGGCTGTAAAATGCCAAACTGCCATTGTGTCCTTAGGCAAGACACTTCACCCCCATTACCTTGAATGAGTTTGGTGTGTATGGCCGGAGGAGCCGATGGCACAGGTTGCCTCGCTTCTGTCAGTGTGCCCCAAGGCAGCTGTGGCTACAGTAGTAGTTTATCATGGAGTGAATGAATAATGACATGTGAAGTGTCTTTGAATGTCCAAAAAAAGTGCTATATAAAACTGATGCATAATTATTATTCCTCTGATTGATGTTTGCTGTGTGCTTGTTCTGACCATTTTCTCTGCTCTGGTTAGAGTGAAATTCTGAATTCTGAAAGAAGGAAAAAGAGCATTCCTCCAGTGAATTTCCACTTGATCTGCTTGGTTAGGACTGTGAATCCTCTGCTAGAAAAATTACAATTGTAAAACACAAAACAACAATTGTTTCAGGAGTTATTGTTACTAATACAGGTATTGGGTTCTTCCACACCAGACAGTAGTAAGTTAGCCATATTTTTGCCATGGCATGTTGTGACAATGTAGGTATAGGTAAAGGTTTTTTTGTGGTTCTTTTGAAAGACAAGTTAGATGTACTACATTAGATGTATTAACAACAAGGTAATACATCTAACTTGTCTTTCAAAAGAACCACAACAAATTATTTGACTCAAGACAAAATGAAGGCAAAGTAAGTATATTTGTATAGCCCAAATCATATACAAGGCAACTCAAAGATTTTAGCAGCATGAATCTGAAATGCAGCCTCCCCATGTTTAGTTCTGACTCTGGGCACTAACAGGAGTCCAGTCCCTGTGCTCCTCAGAGTCCGGGCTGGGGCATGGAGAGACTTGTACACAGGCAGAGCTGTTTTAAAGGCTATTCTCTGAGCCACAGGAAGCCAGTGCAGAGACCTGAGAACTAGACTAATGTGGTCGTACTTCCTGGTTCTAGTCAGGACTCGAGCTGCTGCATTTTGAATGTACTGCAGCTGTTTTACAGCCTGTTTGGACAGACCTGTGAGCAGGCCATTGCAGTAGTCTAACCTACTGGAGACAAATGCATGGATAAGAATCTCCAAGTCTGCTTTAGACACTATGTTTTTGATCCTGGCAATGTTTTTTAGATGGTAAAAAGCTGCTGATGTTACTGATTTGATGTGGCTATTAAAATTTAAGTCTGAGTCCAGTATTACCCCTAGATTTCTGACCTTGTTTGAAGGTTTTAGGGAGAGAGACTGTAGATGATAGATGACGCTCTCTCTTTGTTTCTGGGGACCAAAGACAATCATTTCAGTTTTGTCTGCGTTTAGCTGAAGGAAGTTGTTTTGCATCCACTCACTGATCTGTTGGATACAGTGAAGGAGTGAGTCCACTGGTCCATGTTCTCCTGCAGTCAGTGAGACATAGATCTGAGTGTCGTCTGCATAGTTGTGATAGGACACTTTGTTTCTGCGTATTAACTGACCTAACGGCAGCATGTAGAGATTGAACAGAAGAGGTCCCAGGATCGACCCCTGTAGCACTCCAAACTTAGGACGGTGCCAGCGACGCCAACCCAGTCCTCTAGTCCCTGTAAGAGGATCTCATGGTCGACGGTGTCAAAGGCAGCACTCAGATATAACAAGATTAGGATTAAGACTTTGCCAGAGTCAGTGTTCAGCCGGATATCGTTTGTAACTTGACGAGAGTTACAAACCTCAGTGCTGTGGTGGGGTCTAAAGCCGGACTGAAACATATCAAATGAATTGTTGATTATAAGAAATCTAGTAAGCTGTACTTTTTCAAGGACTTTCCTCATAAATGGTAGATTTGAGATGGGACGATAGTTGTTAAGTACCGTACCATCCAGACTGCACTTTTTTGAAGGGGCCTGATGACTGCAGTTTTCAGGGCCTTTGGGAATGTTCCTGAATGAAAGGACATTTACTATCTGTGTGAGTGAAGGTACCAGACCGTTTTTATCATCTGCAGCTGAAAAGTGAGTTAGCTCAAAGAGCCTTGCTGGCTGTTGGATTGTTATTAGTGGATTGGCGACAATGGCGTTTTTGATGCCTTGAACCTTGTCATTGAAAAATATTGCAAACTCATTACATTTGCATTTGGAAGTTAGCTCTAATGGAAGCTGAACAGGGGCTGAACTTGCACCACTTTGGCAATTACCCTTTTTGAATTGGTACTTGGTTTACAACAATAGTAAGTTAGGGATGTTATTACCTTGACATTTATTGACAGAATGTGAAAAGGTAAAGGTGAAGGTATTGTTTCTGGTGGTCATTGTTCTCTGTGGTTTCAGTGATGGCTACTCTGCTTTCTGGCATCTTTCCGTTTCAACCTAATTTTTCGGCCAAATCCAACTCCTGCATCGTGGCCCCGCAAGTGATCGGCTCACACATCAAGAACTTTAACATCAGCATCAACACAAAAGGTTTGAAGAAGGAAAATTATCTTTACATTGTGATTTGTGATTTACATTTTATCTGATTGACTTCTTTCCTCAGACGAACAATGCCACAATAATAATAATGAGGAACAGAAACAGGAAACTGAACGTGAGTGTTTTTATTATGTGTAATACATCATGATTTTTAAGATTCCTTTCATCTGTTAGGACAGACTTAACCAGTTCAACCATGTCTTTACAGCAAATCCTTTACAGCAGTTCAGTTATTCCTCACTCTCTAGCAAACCAGAGACAGTGAGCAATAACTTCCGTTGTTTGAACTAATTTAAAAGCTTCTTTCATCTTCTGGGCTGAGAAAGATAAGGTTACAGTCCATATTTATAAAGAGATAAGTGGGAACATGGAATGTATGAACCAGGTATCAGCCTGGATCCCAGTTCTCTTGACTGTTTACTTGGGCTTTTATACTTTTTTTTGAAACTTCAAAGGCCAAATGGAATTTCACGATACTTTCAACCACTGCTTTACCTAAAGCAGACAGTCAGTGGCTGAGCTATTCCTATCGACTGGTGAAATAATAATGAATGATCCCTTGGGATGGGAGAGTAATGGGATCTAGTCTGATATCCTGGCTCATTGCTTTCAATAAAGGGGGGACATGCAACTTATGAGCAGGAACATCAGACTGAATACCAGATCTGGCAAGATAGCAGGGCCACTAAAGTGCAAATGTGTTATTGGGCAAGACTTCCACATGGCCTTGTATCAGTTTGGTGTGTTAGTCAATAACCGGGTCAGTAAACAATGGCCAAATATTCGATTCATCCAGGAGTTTCATTTGGTCTTTGAAGTTTCAAAAAAGTATTAAAAACCAAAGTGAACAAAGAATGTTGCGTGCAGTCTGTTTGGACATTGATTTCCGGATGAAAGATTCAAGAAAGAGAAAAGTAAACGGAAAGAGTTTACTGCAGAGTTTACTGCAAAGACACTCACACATGTTATTACCTTTCAGATCTGCTCATAGAGGAGTCCCAACGCAGCCTCAAATCTTACCTCAAGAAGAACTACAGCTACCTGCATGAAGGAGCCATCAACGAGTCCAGAGTGTCCCTGAACAGCATCTACACTGAGCTCTACATCACGGAGGGAGGGAGTGGAACCCCCAACCAGGAGCATGAAGTTCGCCAAATCGAAGCCACATCCAAATCCACCTCAACCGACGAAAAAGCCATTTTGTGCAATAATCTTTTCAAGTCGCAATCAGAACACGGGGACTCGGTTCGTACGGTGCTTACACGAGGAGTAGCAGGAATTGGCAAAACCGTGGCAACCAAGAAATTTACATTGGATTGGGCTGAAGATAGAGACAACACAGATTTTGATTTTGTATTCCCGCTTTGCTTCCGAGAGTTGAACTTGATAAAAACTCAAAAGTTGAACCTCGATGGACTGATTAGTGTGTTTTTCCCAGAAATGAAAGATTTGAGAATTCTCGGCAACAGCAAATGGAAAACGTTGATTATTTTGGATGGATTGGATGAGAGTAGAATTAACCTGGACTTTCAAAATTGCGAGATATTATCCAATGCGAACGAAACCAACTTTATAGGAGTTCTCCTGGTTAACCTGATTCGGGGAAGATTGCTTCCCATGTGCCCAATTTGGATAACATCACGTCCAGCCGCTTCCAGCCAGATTCCAGCAGAGTGCGTCGACTTGTTAACCGAAGTCCGGGGTTTCAACAATCCGCAAAAAGAGGAATACTTTCGACGCAATATCCCCAACAAAACCATCGCTGACAAGATCATATCTCACATTAAATCATGTAGGAGTCTCCATATCATGTGCCATATTCCGATATTTTGCTGGATGTCTGCGAAGGTTTTGGAAAAAAACGATAGTGAAGATTTGCCGAAGACGTTGACGCAAATGTACGTCCACTTCTTGGCTCTTTTCATCCACAACATGAAACAGAGATTGGAAAATTGTAAAGCCGATATTGAGGACAACATACGAGATAACTTGATTGTGTTGGGAAAGCTCGCATTCAAAGGGCTAGAGAAAGGTAATCTTGTCTTCTACGAAAGCGATCTGAGAATAAACGGGATTAATGCCGAGCAGGAATCCATCTTCTCTGGAATCTACACGGAAATCTTCAACAACAATACAGCCATTTACGGCGCAAAGATGTTTTGTTTCGTCCATCTCAGCGTCCAAGAGTTCTTCGCAGCTTTGTACGTGTTTCTCAAGTTTCACAACGAAAACGACAACGTCCTCATCAAAAAGTCGTCCGCGACAAGACGATTTCTTTTCCGCGAGTCTTCTGAACTCATCCTCTACAAAGAAGCCATTGAAAGAGCGTTGCATTGCCCCAACGGACATTACGATATGTTTTTGCGATTTCTGCTGGGGCTTTCTCAAGAGCTGGAACAACCGTTGATGAGAAGAATATTGTTGACCAAAAACAGTGCTCATACGAAAACAAAAGAGATTATCCGCTATATAAAAGACAAGATTCAAATGGGCCCACCTCCCAACCGATGTCTGAATCTGTTCCACTGCCTGAATGAACTGAACGACCGGTCCCTGGTGGAGGAGATCCAGAGCTACATAAAGGCCGGTAGAGTGAACGAGGCCAAACTCACGCCTGCTCAGTGGTCCTCCCTGGTGTTCGTGCTGCTTACATCTGATGAAGAGTTGAAGACATTTGAGTTGGGAAACTATGCCAGGTCTGAGGAAGGACTGCTGAGGATGCTACCGGTCATCAAAGCCGCACAGATCGTAGAGTAAGTCTTCTGTGAACAGGTGGTTCTAGAATTCTGTTTCAGATAATAATTTTGAAAAAGATTGTTATTTGATTATGCATATTGTGTTTTGTGAATATTGTCACAACTTCTAGACTCATTTTATTTGTGTATAGCCCTAAATCACAACAGCAGTCGACTTGGAGGACTTTACAGAGTTGTCGATTCACCAACAACAGATTAGAGAATCAAACAATTCAAAAACAGGGGATGCAATAACAACAAACACATAGGCCATTGGCCTCCTGCATCAGAAAGGAACAACCGGTGGGATAAAGTGAGAAACCTTGGGGAGGCCCATATTGAGAGAGGGATCCGCTCCCACGAACAGGCTGTGGATCCAAGACTGAGGATATGCGGCGCAGGACAGAGGCTCCCAGGTGGGGAGCAGGGTACACACCTTTATGAGAATTAGACCATGGTTGATGCAAAGAATATGTGGCATTTTGGGACAGTTTTATCTGGATTACCCCAGGGATTACAGAGTAATTAGCTTGGCAACACTTTTTTCCGCATGAGAAAGAGAAAATTTTGTGGAGGGCTGGGTCAAGAATGTGATTATGAAAGAGTTTCCTTACAAATAATGTAATTTCCATTTTCTACCCTTTTAATCCATTTCTGGGTCAGGGGGGTGGCAGTCAGAGATGCCACCCAAGTCTCATGGCACCAGCTTGTGACCAGCCTCACTGACCCTCTGCAGGTGGTGAGTCCACAGGAGGACGGCTGCTCTTTGAGTGTGAGCATAGCCTTGATCTTTCAGTGGGGGCTTTTGGGCAAAGTGGGGTTAAGTGTCTTGCCCACAACGACAGCAGTCATCAGTGGGAGTCGATGGAGAAGGTGCAGAGGTGGGAATTGAACCCACGACCTTCTGGCCTTAAGGCCAATGCTCTACCAACTGAGCTACTGTTGGTAGAGAATAATGTAATTAAATTTCCAGAATCAATGGTGATGGACTCCCGCTGCAAATGGTTTACTGCTTTTAGCGATAGTGTGTGACATCACAATGCTGGACTAGCTGGCTGGATGCTAACAATGCTGTATCTCTGGTGCAGACCCACATTGTACTCCATGAACACAGAGGTCTGCTCCCCGCAAATTAACACAGCTTCACGTCCGACTTCAACAGTAAATACTTAACAGTGTAATTGTTGTTGAAGAACCTCCATTCAGCGTCTACCTTACTCTATTCATCAAAAGTGGACGTTGTTGAGGGCTAATGACAAGTGAACGATCATATCACACGAATGTCTGTCACAACTGCTTGGTGGGCCGGACTCGGCCTCCGGGCCGTATTTTGCCCGGGTCTGCTCTAAAGTCTGAGGTAGTTGAAAGATTTTTAAACTGCCGTCCACCACAAACTACTGTAAATATTCACCTATTGAGGCTCTTTCGACTGTTGTGAACATTCATGCAAATAGTTCCAAGCTTTTCATCGGTTGCCAGAGCCACTATTATACTGAGCTGAGAAAGGCCATGTCTTTTGTGATTCTTAACGTAGTTCTCATTCATGAAATTAGTGATGAATGTGACAGAACCCTCTGATGGATTGAAATCGATTTGGATTTTTCATTCAGAGGTCCTCTCACCCTTTGTCCACATGTGTGATGGTGTTGTTCTGTCTTGCAGCCTGAGTGCGTGTGGGCTGTCCCTGTGCTCCTGTGACCTTCTCTCCTCGGCCCTGAGCTCCTCTATGATCCAGGAGTTGGACCTGAGCCTGAAACCCATCACCGATGCCGGCCTCCAGAGTCTCTGCAAGGGTCTGGCTCTCAGCAAGGTGCACACGCTCAGGTAAAACACGCTATTCAACAGAAAAATAATAACACAAATCAGAGAATCAAACCATTCAAACACAAACAATGCAATGATAAAAAAAAACACTTAGAGCCATTGGTCCACAAGGGGCAGATGACCAAAGACCATAAATGTTAATAAAGGTCTTTGGTTCTTCTTCACCAGACAATAGTAAGATAGCATTGTTAGAAGTAAGTAAGAAGCACTTCTGAGTAAGACAGTGTCTTGTGTTGTCCCATGTCTCAGGCTGAGGAGTTGTGGTCTGACTGAGGCTGGTGCAGAGTCCCTCTCCTCTCTCCTCTCCTCGTCTCATTGTGAACTCAAGTCTCTGGATCTGTCGGACAACGACTGTGGAGACAGAGGAGTCCAGATCCTGAGCCAGGGGCTGTCAAGTGCACGCTGCCCCCTACAGGTCTTAAAGTGAGTCTCAACACGCTTCTCTCTCCTGACAAGAGCTCCTGTCTATCTCGGTGCACACTGAGGTGGTCTTGCATAGTTCTTCCAAATTTCTCTAATGTCAAATTAACTGAATCTTGAATCTCCTGTAGAGTCACATTGTCCCGTGTGTGTGTGTGTGTGTGGTGTTAGTCTGTCTTTATGCAGAGTGAGTGAGCGCGGCTGCATGTTCTTGGCTTCTGCTCTGAATCGCAGTGATCTGAAAGAACTGGACCTGAGCTTTAATCACCCGGGAGAGTCTGGAGTCCAGCTGCTGACGGCTCTCAAGGACGACCCCCTCTGCAGCCTGCACCAGCTCAGGTTGGCTCATTTAAGAACACATGATTTATAAATATACTTCCATTGTGTCATTTATAATATTAATAATTATTATTATAATAATGCAATGGTTTTGTATATAGCACTTTTTGGAAACTCTTCACATGTTATTATCCATTCACTCCATACATGGTGGTGATAAACTACTACTGTAGCCAGACCTGCCCTGGGGCACACTGACAGAAGTGAGGCATCCAGTATGTGCCATCAGCGCCTCCCACCCCCAACCACTCACACACACCAGACTCATTCTAATGTGGGTAGTTATAGATTGGAGAACCAAAAAGCCAACAAGTTCTCGCCTCAACCACAGTTTACATTGTGATGAAACCGTCATGATTCTATGTTTTTCTGCTTCTAGTGTTGAAAAATGTGGAGAACCCCGAATTGGACCAGGGCCGATGAAATGTAAGTCCATTTGTCTTACAATGAAAAAATAAAACAAAATTAAAAAATAGCTCAAATTTGGCAAAATGTATCTTAATTTGAGCACATTTTGACTGCATTAACAAGATTTACCAATGGGACAATGAGCGATCTTGTTTTAAAAAGATGCAAGAAATGTCAAAAAAAAAAAAGCTAAAATAAAGATATAAAACTAAATGGCTTTGTCCCGTTGGCAAAATTGGCAACATCAGAATGTACTCAAATTAACAAAAAAAATACTAATATTTATCATTTTGCTGCAGTCTGATATTTTCTCTACTTTTTTCAGACCTCGTTAGTCTCTCTCTGGACCCAGACACCGCCCACAAAGATCTCTCTCTCTCAAACCAAAACCTCTCCGCGATCCGGGAGCTGAACCCACCGGCTCCCAGCAGCTCGGACCGGTTCGGATTCTGGACTCAGGTCTTGTGCACTCGAGGTTTCACCGGACGCTGCTATTTTGAGGTTGAATTCTGCGGCAGAGTTTGCGTGGGCGTGGCCTCCAAACACATGAGCCGCCAGGGGGAGGGTCCTGAGAGCCGCCTGGGACAGAACCCCCGGTCCTGGGGTCTCAACTGCAACAAAGACGGGTACAAGGCGGTCCACAATGGCCTGGTGACCCCTGTGCCTGGTCCTCTCCACTCCAGCAGACTCGGGGTCTTCCTGGACTTTTGTGAAGGGAAACTGTCTTTTTTTAGTGTTCGTGAAGGGGAATTGAAACATATTTTTACTTTCTTTAAGTCAAACTTCACCGAGCCGCTGTACCCTGCCTTTCACCTGGCCTTTATCGGGGCCAGCATTCACTTGCGTTGAACTATTGAAATAAAATGTTTAAAATTCTTTGTTTCGCAAGCCTCCTTTTCAAACTGTTTATTTTGTCCATCCATCCACTTTCTTCCCCTTAATCCATTTCTGGGTCGGGGGGTGGCAGTCAGGGCAACACCCAGTTCACAGAGCACCAGCCCCTCACTGATCCTCCTGCAGGTGGTGAGTCCACAGGAGCCTTGATCTTTCAGCAGGGGCTTCAGGCAAAGTGGGGTTAAGTAGTAGTAGTAGTAGTAGTAGTAGTAGTGTTTTTATTTGAGCAGTTTGACAATACGCAATAACATGCACAAATAATTCAAGAAAGACAAAAAAAAGGCTCAAAAGGAGAAGGCCGAAGCAAAAAAATTATATGTGCCTTCCCCATTATCAATTAATTAATTTAAGCGGCTGCAAAATATTTAAATTTTCACATGACATTCCTGATTTTTGCCTTTTTTTTTTTTTTTTTGCATTTTTATCTTGATGCAAACAAACAAAAATATCAGCAATGCTTATCAATTTATGTTCCATCCAGTTCATTGCAATAATAAATGTAATCTTCATTGTTTTTACAACATGTGGTGCATTCAGAGCTGCAGCCCCCTCTGTGTCTGGAAACTGTTCTGTGGAGTGCATTAAAAAGACAAGGCTTTATGGACCTATTGGAGGGAGGGGTCCAAACTGATAATCCGTTAGTAAGTTATATTTATTAAAAAAATCTTCTAACCTTATAACAAAGAGCTTCTCTAGAATTTTATAAAATTGCGGAAGTAGCGATATTGGTCTATAATTGGTGAACTCATGTTGGTCTCCACTTTTGTAAACAGGTATTACTTTTGCTGTTTTCATTTTCGATGGAAATATGCCAGTAAGAAAAGACTGATTACAAATATATGTGAACGGTGTCACAAGTCAATCTATAATGTCCTTTATTAAGACCAAGTCAAGATCAAAACAATCTGTTGATTTTTTATTTTGTGATCTGTGCACAATATTGATTATTTAATGTTCGTCTACACTTCTAATAAAGAATGAATTATTGTTACATTTAATATTTCCTGAACTAATATCCTGAACATCTGATGGTTTTGGGATTTCATTTGCAAGATTGGATCCAACGTTTACAAAGAAATGATTAAACTCATCAGCAATATCCTTTTTTTTATAATAGTTTTTCCCTCTTTTAAAAAGAATAGCAAATTATCATTTGATTTATTTTTATGTTTTATTATCCTATTAAGAATTTTCCATGTACCCTGTATGTTATTTTTGTTGAGTTCCAATGATTTATTGTAATAATCTCTTTTGGTCAATCTTATTATTTTTGTTAATTTATTTTTATAGGTTTTATATCCTATATAAAACCTATAAAAATAAAGGAAACATGTTCTGTTTCCTTTGTTTTATTTTTTATAAATAATTTGTATAAATGTTGTTTCTTTTTACATGCATTTGCTATGCCTTTGGTTATCCATGGTTTCTCATAACCGCTTAAATCTTTAATAGAAATGATTTTTGTTGGGCAGTGTTTGTTATAGAGGCCAATGGTTGTAGACAGAGAAGCGTCGTACGCCTTGTCAGGGTCAGGAGTATCATATATCTCTTCCCAGGAATGATTACATAGTTCTACTTTTTTGTCTAATCATTCTATATTTATTGGTTTTAAATATGCTAGACGTTTTAAGGAGCTGGTAAAAAATACAAAAAACATGAAGATGATCAGTAATGTCGTTTATAAGTAATCCAGCAGTAACTTTGTGCTCGTGTGTTTGTAAATATATTGTCAATGAGTGTGGCTGTATCCATAGTAATTCTTGTTGGTTTTGTTATTAATGGGAATAGATTATTACTGTACATTGTAGTGATAAAATCTGTAGTTCTTAAATTGTTTTGGGGATTTAAAAGATTTATATTAAAATCACCACAGATAATGTGCTTCTGTTTTACGTTTCTAAACAACATTTCAATTGTTTGATTAAATGTCTCTAGACATGTTCCTGGCGCCCTGTACAGACAGCTAACAATAACATTTTTGGACTTTTCAACCTCAATCTCAACAGTTATGCACTCCAGAACTCCCTCAATGGCAATTGACATATTTTTAACAACTTTACAAACAAGCTCGTTTCTCACGTATACTGCAACACCTCCACCTTTTTTGCAGATGCGATTTGTGGTAAATACGTTGTACCCTTCTAATTCTACTTCACAAATGTTATTATCATCTAACCATGTTTCTGAGAATCCTATGAATCCAGAGAATTTATTAAGATTACTAAAATATTCTTTAATCTCCTCATGGTTCTTATATAAGCTTCTACTATTGAGATGTATAATACTGAGTGCTCCTTCCGTGTTCACATTATTGAACTGTTCATTGGAATAATATTTAGTCATATATTAAATTATTGTAAAAGTTACTATCTGGACCATTATCTTCACCAAACTCATTAAATTTAATTAAGTGTCGTGCCCAAGGACACAACGACAGCAGTCATCAGTGGGAGTCATGAAGTAGGTCTTGTGGTGGGCTCGAACCCATGACCTTCAGGCTGTAAGGCCAATGCTCTACCAACTGAGCCAAAGTCGTTTTTATTTTGTATTTCTTTTCTTTTGCATAGCATATAAAAAAAAATCTTAATACTAAACACAAAAGTCTTCACATTTATGAGTTTGGGCTGTTTGTAGCTATTCCCAGCAGGTGGATTGCATCAGTAATCGGTGCTTAGGAGGCAGGACAATTCTTCTGTATATTAGACCATGAAGAGCATGTTACATACTGTTCCATTAAAGTTTTAATAATTTGTCTAAATTCTGAACGTGTTAGTATCTACTTTATAAAAGAATTGGTGAATTTCAAGAACTAGTTTGATGTAAAAAAATATATCATTTAAAAAATGCATTTTTTTTGAAGTCTATGAAGCAGTTGGGCTCAGTTTCCAATATAAAGTATATAAATAAATGTAACAATATTATCCCTCATAAAACACAAACCTGGAGTTGTATTTTGCTTTGTACACGCTGTCATTAACTTCTGGCAAAAACAACTGCTGCCTTAGCGACCAAGCAACAAATAAAACAGAATAAAATGGATGGATTTACATAAGAACTAGTCTGACATTACATCATTTGTTCATCAGAGAAAACATAGTAAATGTAGTAATGATATAAACCAAACACAAATGACTATAATTAACTTACATTAGGAGCATTCAGAGAAATGAGACACAGATCAAACGTAACCCAATCTGATATAGAATTTTATTTATTACAACAGTTCAAAACATTTCATGGCGGCTGTAAAACCACACGGACATTTTATCATAATATGTTGGAGATAGATCGATGTCCTGGAGTTAAAGGGGCACTGCGGAACTTTCCAGGTCTCCGCGGCGACCAAGGGCGAATAATTACAAGGATTTAAGTCGAGTCAGTGTTTTTAACTGGTTGGTGAAGTATTGTTTTTCCATCACAAAGTTGGAGTGAGAAATTGGTGTAATGTTGGAAATCCATGATCGTGTCATTTTTATAAATATTCAAGACTTTGTTAAAAAAAAGGGAGTATTTTGTTATGAGTCTTTTCTTGACAATTACAGTTAAGCTCTATTGGTGTCACTGTTTCTATGGATTCGATTAAAGACAGAACTGCACGATGACAGTGAATATGACAGAATTGGAGCCTCAGTCCCGGGTCTACAGCCTCAGTCCCGGGTCTACAGCCTCAGTCCCGGGTCTACAGCCTCAGTCCCGAGACCGTAGACCCGGATCTACTTGCCAATGCGGGAGGGTCTAAGTACAGTGATGATCCTGGACATTTATTAGCCTTTCAAACGATTTTAAAATACAGGTAGTCAAGGTACTTTTGAGGAATAGGAAAAAACAGTCAACCAAAAATGACAGTGGGTCCATTGGAAGCAGCGAAACAGCAGAACATTCCGGAGAGAAAGGTTACACAGTGCCCCTCTAGACGCTCCAGTGGGTAGAGACATTTATTTCGACAAGAGGAACGTGTTACTAAGGCCTTTGATAGAGAGGGAATAGTCATTAAAACTCCATTCAGGCGTTGTTCTTTCTACCGGTTTAATATAAAATTATCGTCGTTATAGTATTGACAGCAGCCGACCCCGATTGTTAATTTTGTCGACAGTACGTGGGACCGAACCCTCGCCGAATCTCCCTCATTCGCTCCGAAGAAAAAAAAGGTTGCATACATTATTGTTTTATATATTTACAATACTATGCCTCCTGGTAAGGCAAAAGAAAAGCTTTATAACAATCTTTTCCCCCCACGCAAAACACACACACAGAGCCCTCGGGTCAAGTTCGATGGTCGACAGAAGGCTAGAGTTAAATTTTAAGGTTAAAAAAAAGAAGGAAAAAAAAAAAAAACAGGATAAAGCGCTTTAGTTCACAAAAAAAAAAAATAATGGTGGAAAGTGACCAGAGGGGGAGAGAGGAGAGAGGAAGGGGGAGGGGAGAGCGGGCCTAGCTGAGGAGTTGCCGTATCTCCTTGTGCATGTGACAAAGGAAGTCCACGTATGAGGCTCCACCGCTGGCGCTTTTGTCCTCCACCAGAAAGTGCCGGAAGATGAGCTCGGCCCGGTCCTCCTGCTTCACCACCATCAGCTGCGGAGAGAGAGGTGAAACGATTAGCAACACTGCCATCTGGTGGTAGAGGCAGGGAGTTACAGGCTGAATCTTTACAGGACAGAAAACTAAGCAGCAGCAAAGGAATCATATAGAATTAATAATGAAAAACAGAAAATCAACATGGACTGGGATATTTGCCCTCACAGACCAATCCATGAGGACAGGACGTGTTTTTTTTTTCACTACAACTATCAAACATCTCATGCTGCAGTCAAGCTTTAAACCCATCTGTTTTGTACATAACTAAGATAACTTGTGTGACGATGATTTGAAATGTGATTGTAATGTGTTGTGTATTGTCATATGTCCACAATTCGAATAAAACCCTTAATTACACCAAGTTTAGACTCGTTTTAGGGTAATGGGACACACATTTATTTTAACAACTGACTGCGTTTAGTTTGATAAGAGCCTTGACATGGAAGCTAACAGCTAAGCTAAGCATGCTAACGTGAGCTAAATGTTAGCCTCCTCGGTTTATCATGGCACATACAAGACACTTTACTGTTGCTAATAGTGCTTTGTGCGGCAATTCAGAGCTGGCTGCTAAATAGTGCTTTCTGTCAGAATTAGCACCCATCGCTTCTGTTGCTAAATAGTGAGCTTTGTCCAACTACCTGGGTTCTGTATTGTTTTGCTCTCAGCTGTTGGATAGTTAAAACTTAAACCTGTGCTTTAGCTTCAGCTTGTGTTGGTTGTAAAGAGGTGCGTTCAAAAGTAATGAAGTTGTGTTACCTTCATGAACCGCGGGCGCTGTGCTCGGAAATCTGCAACGATTTCTCTCAGTCTCTTGTTGAGCGGGTTGTCTAGCTCCGGTAAACTCGTCTGCAATGATCGACAGAAAATCACAGTTAAAATGTACTAAAACTTCATGGATAACTTTGTAAAGGAAAAAGCAGCACAGGCAACAGGCCAGACTCAGACGGTGAATAAGTAGTAGTGTCCCTCATCTGACCTGTGACAAGTGACAATCTGACTTGTGTTGTGACGAAGTCACAAGGCAGGTTAAATGTCAAGTTGCTTTGTGAAAGATGGGAACCAAGTCTGCATTTTTGGAAGATTTTTTCAGAATCCCTTTGATTTGAATGAGAGCTGTCAAAATGACAGTTGTTTCAGAATGTGTTTAAAAAGTAAATAAGAAGTTTACACATAAGTTTCGATGCCAGTGCAAGAACACTTCTGAACACTGCTTTTGAAGCAGTGAAGATGCATAGATTTCTGGCCGACTCAATCTAGGATGGAGTTAGATAGGAATATAAATACTATTTCTGCTAGTGTTAGAAGGATTTAACATGCTAATGGTTATGTGAGGATGTCCCTGATCGCACGGACTGGATCCAAATAATCAAAGACAGAGGAATTACATTAAGGGCAAGACTGACCTTTCCGGAGATAAATGCAATAAATATTGGAGTCTCGTGCATGAAAATGTGATCCTACTTAATACTATTATATATTTACTAATGACAGTTTGAACCTGATGTTTATTTACATATATCTGAGTTTTACTTTGTACATGTACAAAGTAAATATGCCTTTTATGCATACAAATACAAAATGCTTTTATTTTTTTACTTTTGTGCCTGTGAAGCACTTTGAGCAGGTGGTGTAGCTGTAAATGTGCTATACAAATAACGCTGACATTGACATCATTATCTACGTAGCAAAAATATTCCAGGAATAAAGCATGATAAAAAGAGGAAAGTCTCGTGTGGCCTCACCATGGCAGGGTCGAGCTGGCTGAAGCTCTGAGTTCCGAACAGGTTTTGCAGCAGCTCTTGTTGGACGCTGGCTCCGACCCAGAGGAACAGGTGCAGACCGGTCTCCAGGATGTAGACCCCGCCTTTAGACAACCGCTCCTCCGAGTCCCGCACCGCCATCGGCAACGAGGCGCCGTCCAACTTCGTCTGGAACATTCAAGAGGTGTGTCAAGTCTATATCTCCAGCGAAAAACATGACATTAGACCATGTATTATTTATGGTGAAGAAGGGAGGTACCCCAGCTTTAAAACAATGTGTCTTCTGAAAACATGATCCAGATTTATACTTTTTTAAAACCATTTGGATATTCTTATTTACAAAGCGTAAATACTGGACCCAATATGCAGACACCCTTTCTCTCTCCCTGTAGTTCCGCTGTTGCTCACCAGGGGCAGTAGTCGAGGGTAGAAGAACACGTGGGTCTCCGTCACGTCCATGGCGCTGACCAGTTGCCGTAGATACGCGCGGTCGTCGAGGTGGACGTCAGCGGCCGGCAACAAGACATCACTCTTCAAGACGCAGTTCAGATACACGGGGAGCAGCTTCATGCACTCGGGGAGAATCAACTATGGGGAGGCAACGTTTGAGGAAAAGTCAGAGTCAGAATTTCAACAGATTCAGGTTTTGACGATATGATTTCCAGACTAAAAGCCACTACTAAATTAAGCCTACTAAATTAAGCCTACTACTGTTTTTATAGATATTTGACCCTTGTGGCTAAATATATGTGTTTTTATAGTGATAGAATTTGGCTATCGTCAGAGCAGAGTTTATTATTTTGACACCAGTTTTAGCAGGCCACTGGTTTATAAGATAAGATACTCGTCTCACAGTGGAGACATTTCAGTGTTATTGTCAAAACAGATGAAGGAGAACGAGTGAATGATAGAAGCTAACGGTGAAACTGTTAAACACCTAGTCATTAAATCATGTTGTGTTGAGTTAAAACAGTCGTAGCTTCACTACAACATGAAAACCTGCGGCTTATATTAAAGTGTGGGCTGTATGTGGACTATAAGGTGTACCTTATAGTCCAGAAAGTACAGTACTAAATATTTAATACCAGTGCTTATTTGAGTTAACTGTACTGAACAACAAATTCAAGATGTGTTTCCTTCAGTATAGATAACCCTGTATTTCCAAGATGGCCGCCCCCCCTGTTCCACTGTTGTGCTTTGTGTAGGAGCTCCTCACCTGACCCGCAGATGAGGGGCTGGCGCAGTTCTTCCGGTAACACGCCAGGATCTGTGCGCACTGGTTCACCAGCGTGTCCCTCACCGACTTCGTGGGGTTGTTCGCGACGCCACGGAAAGCTACGACAAGAGCAGATTTATTTAGTATATCTGGAAAGACAACTGTGAATTCAATATAGTTTTGTTGTCGAGATATCCATTAGGTTTGCTCCCAACATTACAGAATTTCTCCTTTTCAGACAGGATCAGTTTAATTGAGCTTCTATACACTCAATAAATGTTTAATATGAAAAGCATTTTATCTTGGGTTCGGCTTATATTTGTTCCTTGTGATTACACATTAGATTAAATTATAGGGTAAGGGTTCAAATGCCTCAGAAATACCTCCCACTCAACCTTTTTTAAGGACCAAGAGAACCTGGCGCTGGGAACAATTTTATACTGTATATTGTCGTCCAAAGGAAAAAGATTTTAAAAAATGATCTGCGGAAGGCTCTAAAGGCCAAAACGTCATTAAATAAATAGTGCTGGTGTCTACCTTGAATTTACTTGACTTCTGACCACTAAAAACATGTATTATTGTCTTATAAAGCTTTTTTTAGACATTGTAGCCACTCAAATTGATCAATGCATGTTAATGGTCCAATCTATTGTGGAGTTTATTCTGTATTAAGTGATTTTTCTTTGTCAAATGCCAAGGAAAGGAAAGACCTCAGCTTTGTTTGATAATAAAAAAAGGGTATTTAAGAACATACAACAGAATAATAAATGTATTCTGTTCAAGTAAGTGGAGAGTAAATTCAAAACGGCCGATTCTTACCAAACTTGGAGAAGTAGTTGATGATGGTGTCGGTCTCACAGTTGCGGTACAAGTCGGCGAGCTGAGAGCAGCAGTTCACCGCCATATTGTGAACGCGGAGACGCCGCTGACCGCTGCAGCTTGTGTAGAGGACCGCGCACTGCGACAAAAGCAGGTTTCAGACTTTAGCCTCAAATATTACACTATAGAGATGGATTCCAGTGCTCAAGGGGACAGCAGGGGATCCTCAAAGTCTAGTTTTCTCCACTGTTGTACTGGAGCTTATGTTTTTCATATCCTGTACAATGTTGAGAAAATGTATGGGGTCCAGTCTACGTTTAGCACTTTTGAAATGTGCTATAGAAATACATTTGTCTTCACTTTATTGATCTGCATGTGTTTAGAACTCTGATCAAACCTATTCAAGCTAGAGTACCCAACTTAGAAACAACTCTGACTGGCCTCTGCCTCTCCCTCTCTCTGATCTTTCCCTGACCTCTCCCTCTCTTCGGTCTCTCTCTGATCTCTCCCCCTCTCCAGTCTCTCTCTGATCTCTCTCCAAAATGACAGAACAATAGATGACTATGACTGTTTTTATTCTGCCTTAACTTGTTTGCACCGAGAGCCAAAGCAATTTCCTAGTTTGTGACTTCCTGTTACTCACATGGCAATAACAAGGATTCTGATTCTGACTATGTCTCTAATGATAAATGTCTGTGGTTTGACTAGGGATGTAAAAAACTATGAATTTTCATGACCGACCACCGAGCCTCATTAACCGGTTGAAACCGGTTAACCGCGTAGTTTAAAATAGTCCACGTTCTTTGAAATAACAGCCATTTCGAGCCGCGTACTTTGTGTGCAGCTCTGCGTTCTACTGGATCAGAGTTGAGACAGAGGCGCCCAAACCCGCAACAGCTCCGGCACCTTTGCGCACAGAGAACTGCTTTTTTAATCTTCCCATTCTGCTGTGCTGCGGGTTAATACCAAAACTTTCTAGCAGCAAACGACGGCTCGTTCACATGGTCAGAGCAGCGAGTGACGAGCCGCATCTCACAGGTCTTCACAAAAGTTTAAATACAAGTGATGTGTGTGGAGCTGATCCCGAGGACCATAAACACAAACATGTTCCATGTGGTTTGACTGGATCCGCGTATTTGCGCGAATCCTTTGGGCTCCGTGACACAGAGGAGCGCGACAGACCGGTATGTGTGTGTGTATGTGTGTGTGTGTGTGTATGTGTGTGTGTGTATGTGTGTGTGTGTGTGTGTGTGTGCGCGCGCGTGCGTGTGTGCATATGTGGCTCGTGCGGCGTGAGAGTCGTCCCGGAGTTTATAATACATGGGCGCACACAGCTAGATACAGACCCGCTCGTCACACCGTGCAAATAGGGCTTAAAATAGCGTTATTAAGAGACCTCCCCTCTCCCCGTTTTCTCTTTTTTAACCGACAGCTTTGACCGGTTAACGCTGTGACGGTCAACCACCGGTTAAACGGTCACCGATTTACATCCCTAGGTTTGACATAATATATATTGGATTATATAATAAAATGTGATCAATCTTATATATAGGCTTATATATTAATACAATTCTGAGCTCTAAAAAATGGACTTGAGGTTAAAAGTAGTTCTGATTCTGTGGTGGGCACCTGCATGAGAGCTCCTGTGTCTTCGCTGAGCTTGTCGTCGTGTTTGAACTCCACGGTGATGGCTTTGTCACAGTCCAGCCCAGCAAGCTCTACGTCTGTGGTGTTACTCATGAAGAAGGAGCCAAAGAAATCTGTCGCCCGGATTCCTGCACAAAAAAAATCACAGAGATTATGTCAATTAGTGAACGTGTCTCTGTCTCGCCCTCTTCTGTCTCGCCCTCTTCTGTCTCGCCCTCTTCTGTCTCGCCCTCTTCTGTCTCGCCCTCTTCTGTCTCGCTCTCTTCTGTCTCGCTCTCTCCGTCTCGCTCTCTCCGTCTCGCTCTCTCCGTCTCGCTCTCTCCGTCTCGCTCTCTCTGTCTCGCTCTCTCTGTCTCGCTCTCTCTGTCTCGCTCTCTCTGTCTCGCTCTCTCTGTCTCGCTCTCTGTGTCTTAAGCATCTGCAGCTCAAACCTGTGCTGGTGCGGACCCTCAGGACGGCGTCAAATCCCATCGGCTTCTGTACGTCTCTCCGGAGGTCGTTCAAAAACTGCTCCTGGTCGGACTGTGCCTAAAAACACAAGTCGAGTCACGGTACAAAACTCACCATACACTCTAAATGAAAACACTCGCTCGTCCACCTCCTAGTCTATAATGAGCTGTACTGTAGTAGGACCAGAAGTACCTGAAAGTAGGTGTACTTGTAGACAGAGCCCCCGGTGGACACTGGCACCACTGCGAGCGTCGCCACGTCAACGTACTGGTTTGGGAACAGGAAGAGGTCCACGCTGCAGCCCTGAGCCACGCAGTCTTTGGCGAGAGTGTTGTAGAAGCTCGCCTGGGGCTGGAACAAGGACTGAAGAGAGACAAATGTTAGAATACAGAGGCTGAGGAACAATAGAAGGAGTTACATGCAAATTATAAGTGCTAATGACGACGTGGGTTAAAGTAATGCTTTTATGGTTCTAGTCTCGATAAATGATTAGTCCCACATAATCGAGGTGTAAGGCAGAAACGGTCACATGAGTAAAACTCGAAAAGCTTTAACTTTGAATTGGAAATTATATAAAATCCTTTGCAAACATCTGTACATATTCCGCACACGTTCTGTAACTGCTAGAACTCCAAGACCAGTCTTTTTGACAGCTCCCATTAAAATCAACAGAAAAATTCCTCAGCCTCACTTTTAATACATGGAGTAAACTGGGAGATTATACATTTTACTACAGCAACCAAAAATGTTCCGAATTAAAAACGAACCTTCTCCTTGTCAGTCCCCACCAGCTTCTTGTCTTCCCTGTTTTTCAGTTTCCCCGGAGCCTCGGCGATCGGCAAAGACGTGTGGAAGATTAACAGCTTCCCAGCGCAGTCTGCAGCCTGAGAATAAGACAGACACACCATGAGGCTGGGGTTTGTTTAAAGCTGGGGTACCTGACTTTCAAACCACAACAAAACTGACAATGTAAAAAAATCCAAGTTAATTTGTTAAGCTCCCTAAACAGTTTGGTTCTATCACTTGTTTTCAAATGCATGTATTTTTGGCCACTGTCATATCTTTACATCAGCTCTTTCAGACTGAAAAATAAATAAGAGTCAGCGTGCTCCTTGAAGAATTATTATTATTATTATTGCACCTTGAGGGCCTCGAGTCCCGCCTGGATGACTGGTCCAAACACCGTCTCTGTTTCTCTTGTGTCGGCAAACATTTCTGGAATCTGGTCCAACAAGCTGAAAATGCACACAAAGCATACAAATAATGAATATTCTAATTTTCAGAGAGACCAGAGAGAGACTAGAGAGACCAGAGAGTGAGAACAGAGAGAGACCAGAGAGAGACCAGAGAGTGGGATCAGAGAGACCAGAGAGCGAGAGACCAGAGAGTGAGACCAGAAAAGAGACCAGAGAGAGGGACCAGAGAGAGAGAGAGAGAGACAGAGACCAGAGAGACCAGAGAGTTTACTTTGAGACAACAATACAAACATGGGATCAACTTACACATTTGCTTTAACGAGATACGCCTCTTTGTGTGAACTGAATGTGTGTTTAAACGTCATTGTTGTTATTCTTTAGTATTTTTAAGGTTTTATGGGGAGATTAAACAATAAGTGTAAAGAATGAAGCGTTTACCTCTCGATGACTTGCCGGCTCTCGTTCACGTTGACCAGGAAGCCGTCCAGCAGCGGCAGGAACATGTCCGACACGTCCGACACCACGAGCATCTGCGGCTGCGCCAGGGTCCCCTTCACGTTGTAGAAGTGCATCACCTTATTGTACGTGACGAAGCCCACGCGCACCACCGAGTCCGCTTCCGGGTTCTCCCTGCAGGAGAGCACCACGGTCAGGAACGAGGGGTACGTTGACAAAGCGCGAGAATACAAAATATGCATAATAAAATTAAAAATAAATAAATAAAAACAAATCAAATTGTATTCGGGGTCTATTCTGGGTCTACAGCCCCAGTCCTGGATCTACAGCTCTAACTGTTGAAAATTGATAACTTTGTAAAAACCTTCGAGACGACTGCTGTTGTGATTTAGGGCTATACCAAAATGAATTGAATTGAAAGTACACAAAAAGGAAAACAAACTAAAGATTCGCCTGTTGTCTGTGATCTCGACGGCTCCAGAGAAAGCGCCCTGGACTGGTCTGGACTTCAGTGAGGTAGCGTTTAGGACTAATAAACGTGTGATGTCACTGGTCAGTCACCTGGGCAGATAGTCCAGTAGCGTCTTGAGCTCCTGACAGACTATGCTGACCAGGCCGCTCTTCACAGCGTTGTAGGAAACATCGATGAGGAAGATGAAGGCAGGAGGTTGAGGAAGCTTGTTGTTCTGGACACAAAGAACCAAGGTTACTAAAGTGAGTTACATAATAATAATAATAATACATGTTATTTATAATGCATCAATTCCATGAAGCCTCAAAGTTCTAAAGATTAAATTCAATACAAAAAACAAAGGATGCTAATTTAGAAAAAGTACATCCAATATATATAAAAAAACGTTAATTTTTTTTTCTCGGGCCCTGGACACAAGTTCCAATCATATTCACCCTTTTCGGATCTTTTCATGAATATTACATGTTGTTTGCCCCAATTGAACGTACAATGTTGTGACAAATCACATCTCAACATGCTCATCTTATAATAAAATAATTTATCTTTTGCATATTTTTGTAAGAGCCCAGTGAGTCACTATTAGACACTGGGCCGAGTGAGGGTGGTCCTCTCTTTTTCATTTTTCTGATGTTTATCTAAAGTAACGGAGGCCAGAAAACCATGCAACTTATTCTAGAACCAAACTGTTTTGAGAGCGAGGAACTAGATCTCATCATTAGATAGTTCCATTTCCAGTGTTTTGAAAATTAGGTGCCCCGGCTTTAATATGAAGCGTTTGCATCAACTGAATTACACAAAGAGAACAAAAAGCAGAGTTGTATTTACCTTACAGTAGTCGACAGTAGCTAGAAACTCGTAGCTGCCCAGAGACAGCTCGGGCCGGTCGTAGCAGTCTACCCGTTTCCCGGTGTGATCCAGATGCTGGAAATAATGTGGAGGCACTGCATAAAAGACACGAGAACAAGACATTAGTACAAGTAAATACATCATCCTTTCTATTTATGTTCACTTTTTGATAAGAAATGAAAATAAATATGTTTTTGCAGTAACAACATTTAATGCCGTTTCTTTCCCATGTCTTTAGGACCGTTCACACTCACACTACACCAGTGTGCTTTGCTGCCTGCACTCACCCTCCGTGACGCAGCTGCAGAAGCCGCACTGGAACCTCCTCCCTCCTTCGATGAACTGCATGTACGGACACATGTAGGCCTTACAGCGGTTACAGCGGATCGGACCGGATTCGCCGTGGTCCACCAAATACGGAGGGGTCTGGAGGAATGAAAGCATTATTGAGGCTTATCATTGTTTTTTTATGATCTGAATGTTTCTCGTTTGTAGACACGTTGGGTTTCCTTATGTAAAAACTGTGTGATATTGGATCCCCATTAGCAGTTGCTGGTATCATCCAAATAAAAGTTCCTTGACTTATACTAAAAACTGGATCAGCCCTCTCTCATTCTGGGCTTTCCAAAAGTTTCTCACTTTTTACAAACTTTTTTATACTTTTTGTTGTTCCTTGCCAATGCCGGGGGTCTTAAAGACAGTGATGATCCAGGAAATGAAAATGTATGAACAGTGGTCATCCTGCTCCCTATGGACCAATGTCTATGTGTCCAACCCTATGTGTTTGTTAGTATTGCATTTCCTATGCTCGAACCATTTGATTCTCTGATCTGTTGTTGGCAAATCGACAACTTTGTAAAACCCTCCGAGACAACTGCTGTTTTGATTTAGATCTATACACAAATACATTTAAATGAATTGAGGAGTCCAATCCATTACTATATGTCGCTAGCCTCACAGAGATCCAAAAAAAAATCTACTTATGGATAAAACCACATTCGTTACTGCTGTTGTGTGAGTTTTATAGGATTCACAGTCACTCTTGTGTAATCTCTCGTCTCAAATGGTCTAAACTGATCATAAACGGAAGCCCCTCCCCCTCATACAAAACACACCCACACACACACACAGAGATGAAGTGGGAAAATGCGACGAGTCCGGGATTAAGATTACGGGCGGCTCCAGCTGCAGGTTCCGCTGTTACACAAGCGCACGCCACGTAACCTGACCCACATTCACACCGGGATTCATATCCGTCAGCCGGCAAACAGTCACATTTGCATTATTTTTACATAACCTCTACATAAAGGTCATCCAGTCTGGTCTGTGTGGGTTGAATCAGGGGTGTGGCTGCAGGTTTTCATTCCAAACCAAGAGCAACATCAGGCTCCACCCATTTTCTGAGGTGAGTCCAGTCTAAACCTGGAGACTTGTTGGCTCCTGCATGGATGAAACTAAAACCTGCAGTCCCACAGGCCCTCTCTGAAGCAGTTTGACACCACTGCATTAAATGGAGGTCAAATATGTCCAAATATGTCATCTCTAGTGTCCCGCTCGTCTCTCCCCCTCGTCTCTCCCCCTCGTCTCTCCCCCTCGTCTCTCCCCCTCGTCTCTCCCTCTCGTCTCTCCCTCTCGTCTCTCCCTCTCGTCTCTCCCTCTCGTCTCTCCCTCTCGTCTCTCCCTCTCGTCTCTCCCTCTCGTCTCTCCCTCTCGTCTCTCCCTCTCGTCTCTCCCTCGTCTCTCCCTCTCGTCTCTCCCTCTCGTCTCTCCCTCTCTCTCGTCTCTCCCTCTCTCTCGTCTCCCTCTCGTCTCTCCCTCTCGTCTCTCCCCCTCGTCTCTCCCTCTCTCTCGTCTCTCCCTCGTCTCTCTCTCCCTAGTCTCTGTAACTGGATTGACTCTACTTGATAAAATGATTCTGGTGCAGCAATTCTTCCTGCTCAAAGTGTGACATCAGCAGTCGGTACAGTTCTCCCCTGACCTACAGTCTAAGGCAGTGTCTCCCAAAGTGGGGTCCGCGGCCCCCTGGTGGGCCGCGAGGGTACTGCAGGGGGGCCGCGGGAGGTCATAAAAAAAATAATAAAATAATATAATTATTTAATGTTAAATTTATAATGTTTTGTTTGTAATATTAAAATATTTGTGTTCATTATTTGACTTGAATAATCCACTATAATCATTTTTGTATTACAATGTTTGTAGCAGAGGCTATTTCCCCAAAATAAAATAACCAGAAGAGCCTATTCTTAATGTTGTCTTCTTGGTTATTATTTTGGGGGGCCACGCAGACCCGTCAGATTTTTAAGGGGGCCTCGGTGTTACTGAGTTTGGGAATGGCTGGTCTAAGGGATATTCATGCATTTGTAGTGACACTGACCTCGTCCGGGGGCAGCGTGGCGAGCGGCTTGATGACCGCGGCCAGAGGCACCTGAGACTGTTTGGCCATGTCAGCGGTGCAGGGCATGTTGTAAGCCGTGCAGCGGACAAACCGGGGGCTGGCGTTACCTAGAAACACAAGTGACAGACAGGGTTAGAAACAACATCAATCAGAAAATGCTTGCGCCTCCATCTACAGGTTAGAAATGAAGGATCGCATCGTCACTCTTTTTAATATGTAACGTGATTTATTTTAATGCCTTGTGTTTGTTTTGTTCAGCACTTTGAGTTGCCTTGTGTATGAATTGTGTGCTATACAAAAAAATTATGCTCCTTTATGTGAGCGCAAATGAATGCCAGTATATTCCAATCTCTATGTAACTAAATATTTATTCAGTGTTAGAAGAGATTCATTCACATTCCAATAATTAAATTCTTCAATATGTTATAAAAAAGATGGTCCAACTGGGGTACCTTTGTTTCAAACCACAAAATATATAACTTTATAACTATAATTTTTTTTTTTAAATCCATCAAACAATTCTCCATTATAGTGTTCACCAGCATGCATTCTCTGGCCTCTGCTGAAGATTTTTTGGACAGAGACGTGAAAAAGAGAGGACCACCCTGGCTCAGCCCAAAGCATCCAATAGTGACTCAGAAGGCTCTTTTGTACTATGCATGCATTCTAATGAGATGAAGACCACTATCATGTGATCCGATTTCACAAAGACATACTTTTTTACAAGACACACTGGGACAAACAAAATGTAATATTTATTAAAGAAAAGTTGTTCTGGCACCAGAAGTATAATGGCTTATAATAACGCCATGTATTCCATGTATGATTATCATTTAAAACCCTACAGCAGCAACACAACTTCATCATCAAAATAACTGAACCCAACAAATATATATACAAACAAATCTAAAAGCTAATTTCAGTCCATTCTTCTGCTGTTGTTGTTTTTACACCAGATCTAAAATTCACCTTGATCCCGAACGTGAAAGTCTGTAGTGACGAGGGGCGGGGCCTGTCCTCGGACCCCTGTGGTGAAGAGCTCCGTGCACTTGGCCCGGTCGTCTTCAATGACCTGGATCTAAAACAGGGAAAAGCAGATCGCAATATTATCGACATCTGCAGACACTAAAGCTAAACAATTCCTGAATAACATTGTAGTAAAACTCCACTATAAACCAGTATTAGACACAAACATGCAGAGAGGACACACAGCGGATGAGCTTTGGATGGCGGAAAACTAAACCATGAAAAAAGGCATGCACACGAAATACAGAGGAGCTCACAAAAGAAGTAATAAATGCATTGGCTTTTTGAAATTTATAGTTGGGATCCATCAGGGAAATGCTCTACAGTGTAATATTTAAAGGACACATACTTTGCAAAATCATCTGAATCTCTTTCAGGGGAGATATTGTACATGTTTTAATGGTAGGGGAAACCAAAGCATCTGGAGGAAACCTACATGGGAAAACTCCGCACAGAAAGGTCTATAGAGGTGGAATCAAAGACCACTAAATTGTCCTGTATGTGTGCTGCAGCATCGCACTTTCACCACTGTGGGACAAATGAAAGTGATCTCATCTTAAATCTACTTAAAGATCCACTTTTTAAACCATGAAATACAGATGCAAGTCATGTTTGAGATCCATAAAAAGCTTATTCAACTAAATGATCTTTCATAAATGAAGCAGACACACTAAAACCTTCTCATTATCCTGCCTTATGTGTATATAACTTTACACAAAGATAGATAGATGTTGATATTGAAGCATTTAAAGCTAGCAAAGAAACATAGCCACTACTCAGATTGTATATTTTGAGTGCTCTTATTATTGTCCTGTATGTGCGCTGCAACATTGAAATTTCCGTACAAAATCTGAAAATGGAGAAAAGCTTTACCAGTGCTTCCTTTGGACTTTATGAAAGAAAAAGAGAAAAAAAACAAAACTACAAACTACGACAGAGCCACAAGCCCCAATGAACCAGGCCAGAAAACTCACCTCAATGCGTTATGAGACAGGCACAAACATGCAATCTGGGGTTAGCATGAGGGGGTTAGTGAGAGAGGAGGGGTGAGGAAGGTGAGGAGGGGGAGGAGGCAGCACACAGGACACTTACTGGGCTGGGGATAGCATCGGGATCTATTCTATGTCGCGATTTCTGCACAGCTGGAAGATCGGGCGCTTGCTTTACATTTCAAAAGATTGTCCGGCACAAGTAGGCACAAAAATGAAATAAAAAAATAAAAAATACAAAAGAGAGATGACAGATACAAGAGTGTGAGAAGAGGTTTCAGTCAGAGTTCATTCAGTAGCAGGCAGCAATTTAGTCATTAGAATAACAGATAGATAGATTGATTATAGATTAGTGACTGGTTAGGTGAGCTGCCGTTAGCAATAGCCTGATCATTGACACATGCTTAAGCAGCTCTCTGCAACATTGTGCTAATTAGCACCCATCTTAAAGAAAAAGATTTAGAAGCGATGTTGAATAAATGTAAATAAAGATTAAAGTTTGGGGCAGCACCGTGAATGTCATTGTGCAAAAGGTAAGGTTTTGGGTTAAGCTAGCATCCTGCGAGACGAAATACCAAGATTTAAAGAGGGCCCGGCCAATAAAATAGATTTAAACGTTAACAGAGTAAGAGGTTATTGTGCCATTTCAGTTACGTGTACCTTACAACATGTACAACAATTGTTCATGATGTTCATGTTTGAACTTCTAGTGCAATGCTTTCTCCATCTGCACCTCAAAGTAGGGGTGGGCGATAATTATTGTAGGAAATAATATTGTGAAAGTAGGTTTGCCTTCTCTGTGTTGCGTGTAACTTGTCCAAAAACTGCGGAGTGTAGAATATGACAGAAGGTGGTGTAGCGCCAGAGTCCGTATTTCATACAGCGGTGGACACAGCACGTTTATTGAAGGTAACTAAACGTTCCTTGTTCTAATATATGCACATGGAGATGAGTCGTTATATTTTTGAATGAAGAAAAGGCAATATGTATAATTTCTTCTAAAACAGGAAATTAAAAGAAATGTGACAGGAGCCCTTTGTTCCTATTTGAACATCCTCTTTGAGGTTCAATAAATAAAAACAATTACTAAACACTTTGGAAATTGGCATGTTTGTATTTGCAGTAGTTTTTGGAGGGTTATTTATCCTGTAAAAATATTGTTGTATATTGTATATCTAGATATACAAAAAACATATTGAAATAGTGATATTGCCCAGCCCTACCTCAAAGTACTTTTTTTGTTACAATTGGACTGAAAATGATGAGACACTGTTTGAAAGTACAGTCAATCGTAACCAGAAGAAAACAATACAACTTTAGACAATGGTACAATTGTGTCTGCGGTGCATACCACAAGTGAATATAATTGAATGGATACAAAGGGACTACAGTACAAACATTTCATATGTAAAAACAGTTTTCTATAGGTATTATTCACTTCTTTTGAACCTGGTCCCATTAACTATTAGTGTTTAGTAGATTCTCGTAAAAATAACTTTAAACATGAAAATCTCTGTTTTTACACATGAACTCTTTAATAATGATAACATAAAGTTTTGACCACATCAGGAGTTAGTTCTCACCGGACTGGGGATGGCATCAGGGTCCAGCCTCTTCTGAGCGGCAGGAGCCGGAGCTGGGGCTGGAGGAGCAGGACCTCCGTAGTTCTGTGGTCCAGGATATTGGCCGGGGTAACCAGGCTGGGGGCCTCTCACCTGCCCATAGGCCCCTGGAGCAAAGAGAACGCACAACAACACAGGTGAGTGTCTATGGTTTTAAAGTAGAAGTATAAAGCATTATTTTTGTTCATAAAAAATATAATGAGACTATTGTGTATTATGTAATTTCATGTTTTACCATGTGAAATGAAATCTCAGGGTAACTGCCTGTAACTCCCCAGCCCACCCCAGTGAGAGGAGGTGATTTTGAAATTTTAAGAATTACCAAAGCTAAAGGAAAATCTATGTTTTGACAAATATTTCCTCTAAGGCAAGAGATCTCAGTTAAAGAAAAGTAAGGAAATAAAAGGAACCCCTCAAAAAGGAGAAAGACATGAAAAATATATAATTACCATCCAAAGTGCAATAAAAATACCAGCAGAACTATTGGGCAAATTAGATATTTTCTTTGTGCTTAATTTTGCTGTTAACAATATAAACAAAGTGCCTCTCACCGTTCTGCTGGGGTGGGTACCCAGCGGGCATGCCGGGCTGAGGCGGCATTGCCCCGGGGGGTCCCAGGGGCGGCGGTCCTTGTGGCGCGGGGGGCATGTGGTTGCTCTGCTGCATCGCCGTGGGAGGTGGCGGCATCTGCGACCTGGGTGGAGGCGGGCCCTGGTGGTACGGGGAGGGCTGATTCTGCGAGTGTGGAGGAAGAGGAGGCTGAGGCTGAGCTTGGGCCTGAGAAGGAGGAGGCGGAAGCATGGGTCCGGAGAGGAACTGCCCCGGTTGCGATGCGTTTGGTGGCGGGATGGGAGACTGCCTTGGCGCAAAACCTTGAGGCGGGGCTGACGTTTGAGCTGGAAATGGCGGGAAAGTCTGTTGCGGGGCCTGGGACGAGGGAGGAGGAGCTGGAGGAGCTTGGGCTGGTCCTGGGGGGTAGTTTTGCGGCATTGGCGGAGGAGGTTGCGGCGACGGGGAGGTGTAATGCGAAGGGAGCGACGACGGCGGAGGTTGTAGCGGAGGCGCCGAGGTAAATTGGGGAGGGGCTTGTTGCGAGGGGGCATATTGTGAGGAGGTGGGGGGAAACTGGGCGCCTCCGTAGTACTGTTGGTGCTGCGTGCTGGAAGGAGGAGCGGCGTTGGAGACAGGGGGCGGGGGCTGTGAGGGGGCGGAGGAGGTGGCAGGGGGAGGAGCTTGTGAGAATGTGGGAGGGGCTTGCGTGAATGAGGGAGGAGCTTGTGAGAAGGTGGGAGGGGCTTGCGTGAATGAGGGAGGAGCTTGTGAGAAGGTGGGAGGGGCTTGCGTGAATGGGGGAGGAGCTTGTGAGAAGGTGGGAGGGGCTTGCGTGAATGAGGGAGGAGCTTGTGTGAACGAGGGAGGGGCAGAGGAGTAGTTTGAGCTAGCAGGAGGAGGGGCGGCGCTGTGAGGGGGAGGAGCTGAGGAGAGAAGAGAGAAAAGAGTGTAAATAACCATCGTCACACTATACTTTTGACTCTTCTGGGTCGATAACAAACTAGGGTCTAAAAGAGTCGAGATGAGCCAAGACCAGTACAGTTAGGGAAAAGTCCTCAAAAATGCCCCTTGAAAAGCAATAATTGAGGTTATTTTGTAATCACTGTCAATTTGACCTGAGGACAACGCAAGGGTTTTAATTAGGGCTGTCAAAATTATCGCGTTAACTCACGTTAATTACATTTTTCATTAACGCGTTAAAAAAAAATTAACGCATTAACGCACGTCCGAATGATCCGCCCATTTATCCATTATCACTCAGAATGCTGCGTGTGAGATGGCATCAGAGCAGGTAGGCCCTCTGGGGATTCATGTTTTAAAAGAATACGCGCGCCACCGCGGGGCTGTTGTTTGCTGTGAACTGAAGTCCGCCTCCTCCGTGGCCGCTCTGACTGTGAGCCGCTCGCAACAACACGGCTGTGAGTGAGTGGCGCCGCGGTAACATGGTCATAAGACCAAACACGCCACAGAACTATTGTCTGCATGTTGTGTTCGTGTCTTTGCAACCTGTGCGTAACCTGTGCGCGCAAATACAGCGCAGGAGTGTCCCTGTCTCCTCCTGAAACTAAACTAAAACGCTGAATTAAAGCTGGGGTATGTAAATTTCCCCCTTTCATTAACAGCTCATGTTGGTTTTGCCCAAAAGCAAACAGATTTAAGTACATTTGGTATGAATGACAATGTGTCATTATATTTGATAATCTCATTTAACTTCAATTGGAGTGGATTTGAAATAGAATGAGAAAAATGCGATTAATCGTGAGTTAACTCACCATTTATGTGCGATTAATCAACTAAAAAAATGTAATCGTTTGACAGCCCTAGTTTTAATACATTGATGCTAAAATAAAAAAAGAATGGTTATGAAACATCACTGAGGTTTCTTTGTCCAGTATGGACAAGGAGTAAGTAACAATGCATCATTCCAGCTTTTTATTATCCGATACAGCTCTTGATGCGAGTGTGAGGTCTCTAAAATCACAACTAATTTATAACAAAATGGGTCCAACTGTTATTTAACTAATCTGCGGAACAACTGTGAGTTGAAGTTATAAATTGAACATTTTGGGTTAATATTACACACCTAAGTCTTTGCCTGGAACAAGTGACCCCTTGCTAAAAATATTGAATGTAGACTGACCATATCCTGGACCAGCAGGGGTAGGGGGCGCCGCGTTGATCTGCATCCCTCCCATCTGGTTGGTGACCTGTTGCATTGGGGGCGGAGGGCCGTAGTGTTGTGGGTATGAAGCTTGCGGGGGTCCGGACAGGTTCACGGCTCCTGGGTGGTACGGCTGAGACACAGGAGGCCTGGAAACAAAACAGTTTAGTCGATTAACAACTGGAGGTTGAAAAAGGTAGAACAATTTTAAACTCTCCTGGTTTGGAAGGGGTCTGAGAAGCAAGACGAAAACCCAAACTCTAGAAATAAATCTATATTTGACAATCTCCTTTCAGGTTTAAAAACAACTTTATGTAGTGGGAATGTCTCAATGCTAAAACCCTTCACAAACATTACAATACTTTTACATGCAATTCTAAATCTTCAGTAACTCATAGGGCACTGTCCGGTTTCCGAAATGTGCTAAAAATAGTTCCAATGACTGCGCATGCGCGCATGTTTCGGACAAACTCTGTCCGACTCCGTTGAGTACTACTGTGTTCTCCACATAAGCGTGTGTATTTATTTGGGCTAAATCATTGAATCATGGTGACAACAAAACACTGCAGTTATGGTGCTTGTGGGAGCGATTTCAGAAAAGGACTCTGAAAAGGACTATATGAAAGCAGTAACATTCAACCTGTTCGTTAAACCACACCATCGAACCAGACCAGGACCAGACCAGGACCAGACCAGGACAAGTGCAAGAGGTGGGTGCTTGTGGTCAGCAGAATTTCTCTCATGAAAATGTTAAAAAGGACATGTTTTTTCAAAACACTTCGCTGGACCAACTGTGGAGCCTCCAGATCCAGTCCTAGCTACGTTTAGCTGGGACTGGACCTGGACCGCTGTATCAGGTCCGTCTGAGCTCTTCTGAATGTAGTTAGCCCCATCAATCCAAATTAGTATTGTTTGTCCTAATCCAGAATGTATACAATTCTCACACCTAAAGAAAGGTGAGAGGGATTTTTTCAACTTCGTGACTATCGGAAAATAAGCACAGACGAAGCGCGTCGGGGTCCGCTTATTATACGGCTTTGTACCAACTGAACACACAAAATAAACTTCTGTCACTATTCATGCCAAAAGGTTTATTTAATGAGTGCAAAGAAAATAGTTCCCAAAGGTTTTAGTTCACCTACTTTAAAAAAGCGATCGCTTTAGTCGCATTAAAAAAGTATTTTTGTCATGAAAACCTTAACAGATAATTCTGAAAACCTCTGTGCACGTGTGTTGTATGAATAATATATTCTAGCATTAACATTTAAATATGTTGATTGATTGTCGTTTGCGTTTACTGAGTGTGGCTAGCTCCGATAGTTTCTCTCTCAGAGACAGTAGTGGTGTAGCCCGTTGTGACCCCATGGATCTATTATAATATCGGCTGACTGTAGTTAACTAAATGATCAAACTAATTACGAAATGGACAGTACAAAAAACAACTTGATAAATGGAAGTTAATCAGAGCAAAATAAACAAAGAAGGCGCTAACATTGCAATTTAAATGACTAGATAATGTTAGCATAATCCTCACCATTACCTTTTTATCAAATCAAACTTTCTACCAGTTACTGGAAGACCACGACATTCAAGCCAACGTTTTAATTGGTCTACACTATGATCCCTGATGGTTTGATGGTGGAATTTTGCCCCTGGTTTATCATTTTCGTCTAAAGTGACAAGAGGTATTTGATTCATTTTGGCAGTGTTTGTCCGAAACATGTGGGCGGGAGTTGACAGGCGGCGGGGGCGTGGCCTAGTGACGTCATTCAGATAGTTCGCTATTATAACACCGTGCAGTGAAAAACAGTTTATTTAGATCTGTTTTTATCACTCTAGTGTATTCACCTCTGCGGGGCCTGGGTCATGGGCGGGGGGCCGTTCTGGATGCTCTGGCCTTGGCTGTACTGTTGGGGGGCAGACGTGGGAGGACCTCTGGTTGGGCCTGTGGGAAACAAAAACAATGAAAAAAAGGTTAATTCAATATGACTGGCAAACTTTCCCTGGTTTGGCCCCTTATTTTAGTCAGGTCTCTCTCTTTTCTCTAGTCTCTCCCTCTCTCTGCTCTCCAGTCTCTCTCTCTCTCTGCTCTCCAGTCTCTCTCTCTCTCTGCTCTCCAGTCTCTCTCTCTCTGCTCTCCAGTCGCTCTCTCTCCCAGCTCTCCAGTCTCTCTCTCTCTCTGCTCCCCAGTCTCTCTCTCTCTCTGCTCTCCAGTCTCTCTCTCTCTGCTCTCCAGTCTCTGCTCTCTCTCTGCTCTCCAGTCTCTCTCTCTCTCTCTGCTCTCCAGTCTCTCTCTCTCTCTCTGCTCTTCAGTCTCTCCCTCTCTCTGCTCTTCAGTCTCTCTCTCTGCACTTTTCCTGCTCCAGTTTCTAGCTTTTAGCATCTCGGTTTGTCATACTTAAGTGCAGATTTTACTTCACATGTTACTAGTGACAATATGACCCCAGTATTGATTGATTAATGCTTCTAAGACCACCACCACCACCACCACCACTTTAGTTCATTGATGTTAAAGAATGTGGACAAGAGAAGAACAAATAGATGAGTGAGGCAGACTTTCAACTGAGGGACTAGCTATTCAAGTTACTCTACTTTCTTCAAAGCAACTTTCTCTGGAGAAATGTCCACAGGAGAACAGACAACTGCTGTTGGCGCAGCCATCGCCGTAAAAGAGTGAAATACCGGAGTGACAGAGGAATAACTTAACGCAGAGACATAGGTTCAGTTTGGCTTCATGCGTTCTTCACAGGTGTCAAGCAGAGGGCCATTTATTAATATTGCGCACCGGTGTGTAGCCACGCCCACACAGAAAATAGGTCACTGGGTCAATTGAGGACATACATTCAACACCCCCACTTGTTCCTTGATTGACAAAAACACTAATTTACATGTCCCAAAATATATTACAATAGTCATATTCCAAATAGAAAACACACAAATTTGTCCATTCGCGGTTTCGCGACAGGTTTAGTAAAAACATCGGCCACCATAGTCTCTGTTGGGCAGTACACAAGTTTAATGTTTCCATCTGAAATAGCAGATCGCACAAAATGATACTTTATGTCGATGTGTTTACATCGCTGTCGACACACTGGGTTTTTTGAAAGAGCAATCGCACCCTGATTGTCTTCAAAGATTGTCACAGGTGTAAAACTTTGACTGTCCATCCCAGATAACAAGTTCACAAGATACAGGCTTTCCTGGGCTGATGCTGATAGAGCCATGTATTCAGCTTCACATGTAGATAAAGCAACAGTAGATTGTTTTTTCGACTTCCATGAAACAATAGGTCCACTCTCACATAAGCTGAAACAATATCCAGTAACACTGCGTCTGTCGTTCTGGTCAGCCGCCCAGTCAGCATCACAGTAGGACACAAGTTTTAAACTTACATTTTGTTTCTTGTAACACATTTCTTGATTTACAGTGTATTTCAAATACCTCAACACATGTTTAGCTGCAACCCAATGTTGTTCTCTAAGTTCAGAAAGGTATTGAGACAGTTTACTCACAATGTAACTCAAGTCTGGACGTGTAGACATCATAACATAGATTAAACTACCAACCACTTCACGGTACTTCTTTGGATCGGCAGCTTCACCCTCATTGTCAAATTTCATTTTCATCTCACATGGGGTTAACCTGGGTTTGCAGTGGGTCATATCAAATCTCTCAAGAACTTTAGTGATATATTGTTTTTGATTCATTTTGATTTCCTCTTTTGTTTGGACAAAATCAATGCCAAGGAAATGTCTTAGTTTTCCAAGATCTTTAATTTTGAATTTGGCCCCCAACATTTCCTTCACATCATTGAGGATTTGACCATCACCCGCTGCAATAATGAGATCGTCAACCCAAATTAACAACATCACTTTCTCATTTCCAGTTTTTCTGTACACACAATAGTCAGCAGTATTTTGGACAAAACCATTTTCAACAAGAAAATCATGCAGCATCTTATTCCAGTTTCGTCCTGACTGCTTCAACCCGTAAAGTGACTTATTGAGTTTACAGACTAACTTTTCTCCTGTTTTTGACTCTACTTCGAATCCTTCAGGTTGCTCCATATAAATGTCACAATCTATAGGGGCGTGTAAGTATGCAGTTTTGACATCCATTTGATGTAGCTCTAAACTATACTGAACTGCAAGCTGCATCAGAACACGCACAGAGGTCATATCAGCAGTGGGTGAAAAAGTTTCATTATAATCAATACCAGCCACTTGACTATAACCTTTGGCTACATATCTGGCTTTGTATATGGTTTCAACAGGACTCTCTTTTACCGCAAACACCCATCTACCCCCCACTGCATGTTTACCTACAGGTAATGTTGTCAAAGTAAATGTATCGTTATCTATCAGTGCGTCCATTTCATCCTTCATAGCTTTGGACCACTGCTCTGATTTAGAAGAATTCAAAGCTTCTTTTGGTGTTTGTGGAACATCACATGTCACACGATAACAATAATCAATATTAGTCAGTGCTAAATCTTCGTCACATTTTAGTTCATAGTCATAATCTGTGTAAAATTGGGTCTGTTTCCGATCTCTTTTTGGATAACGAAAACCCTGGCTACTCTCACCATTTTGGTTTGTATCACACACCTCTACTTTGATTTCAGGTGGGATCACTTTTGTCTCGTCAGATTGAAACTGTGGATTTACCACCATCTTTTTAGGCTTTAAATGTTCATAAAACATGCCTTCATCTGTTTGTGTATCACATTCAGTAGAACCTTTAGTAATACATTTTACCAGCCTATTTTTAGAAACTTTACCAGTATCTGGATAAAACACCAGATATGCTGGACTGTTTTTATCATAACCAACAAATATGCCTTTTTCACAGCGTGTGTCTAGCTTTTTCTTATCATATTTATATGCATAACACTCTGACCCAAAAACTCTCATCTTAGACAGATCAGGTTTTTTTCCAGTTAGCACAAAATATGGAGTTTGTCTAAGGCGTTTGTTGTAGCATCTATTTCTGATCATAGCAGCAGTCTGCACTGCATATGTCCATAGCTCTTTTGGTAACTTGCTTTCAATGAGCATGCACCTGGCCATCTCAAACAGAGTTCTCCAAGCTCGTTCTGCTGTCCCATTCTGATGGGGCGAATAAGGAGCTGAAGTTTCATGTCTTATGGCATTTTTACTGAGCAGTGACTGAAATAGACTTGACGTAAACTCTGTTCCGTTGTCTGATCTTAAACATTTGATTTTCCCATAAGGTGCTACATCAGCAATGAACCTCTCAGTAGCAGCAACAGTATCACTTTTGGCTTTAAGGAAATATGTGAACACAGCTCCAGAATGGTCATCAGTAAATCCTAGAGCAAATCTAAAGCCATCCTTTGCTGCAGGCTCTATTGGTCCAGCCAAATCTGCGTGAACAAGTTGTAAAATAACATTTGCTTTTTCATCATCTTCTCTACTTCTATTTTGGGCAAACTTTCCTTTTATACAGACTTCACATGTCAGATTAGCAGTTTCACCCTTATCTTTAATGTTCATTCCTTTAGCAACACTTTCCAATTTTAACACGTCATCATAATTGCAGTGACCTAATATTTTATGCCACGTATTAAGGTCATAACACACATTGCACTGATCAGTATCATTGTGAACAATACTCAAATAAAACAGTCGGTCATGCATTTGAATATCAAAACTTGTACCGTTTTTATGGATGAGACGGTTCTGTCCTTCTTTGAAGATGACGGTGGCTCCTTGCGCTGTAGCCGCTTTAACAGAAAAAATGTCCTGTGAAAATGATGGAACGTAGAGCGCTTCCATCAGCTTCACCTCCACGACACGGCCTTTACCGTCTCTCAGACGGACTTTAGCTGTGCCCTTCTTTTGCGCAATACCACTGGCGCGCTCTCCATCAGCCAACTCCAGAATGTGGCTCTGAGGTTTAAAAGATGGGTCAAACTCCTCGAATCTTCTGATGTCCGTGATGATGTGTTTCGTCGCTCCCGAGTCAACCATTAGACCTTTCACTTTGACACCACCGATCGGAGCATCCTCAAGCTTGAACGCGAACGTGTGGTCCTCCTCATCCACCGCTTGCTTCACCTTGTCCCGCTGTTTACGCCGACAGTGCGCGTCTTTGTGCGTAGAACTCCTGCAGAAGCTGCACCACTGCCTCAGCTCCCGGCGCTCCCCAGCAGCTGACGCACACTCCGCTGCTTTGTGCCCCTTCTGGCCACAGGTGTAGCAGGTGAGTCTTGCGCTCCAGTTTTCTCGTCCTCCAACTTTCATGACACTGTCTTCTCCCGAACCAGAAGCTCCAAACTTTTCTGTGCTCTCGTAGCTTCGGAGTTTTGTTTTAAACTCTGCAAATGTCAGTGTATCATCACTCTGTGTAATGTGAACAGAAAATGGTTTGTACACTTCAGGCAGGCCTTTTAATATCATTGCAGTCAAAGCCATCGCTCAGTGTCTCTCCTGCATTACGTAGCGCCGTGATAGCAGTCTCTGCACGGATAATGTAGTCCGTGACGCTCTCATTGACTCCTTTTTGAAGAGATGTCAGCTCCGTGTACAAACTTATTACGCGCGGCTTCCCTTTGCCTGCGTAATGATCACGGAGGATCTGCAGCGCCTTTCTGCCATCATCAGCGGCTTCTCTCATTACAAGTGACAAACTTTTATCGTCCAATAGTTGAATTAGAACTGCGTACGCCTCTTCATTCTTACTGGCGTCTTCCACGGCATTCTCCGCACCTGCCGCGGGGGCTTGACTCAGTATGGTGCTTTTGAGATCAATCAGACGTAAGTGTGCCAGAAACTTAGTCTCCCACAATTCATAGTTCTTTTCATCTCCGTCAAAACATAATCGGTTCCATCGGTTTCCAAACTCTTTACTGGGCCCATAACCTGTTGGCGCAGCCATCGCCGTAAAAGAGTGAAATACCGGAGTGACAGAGGAATAACTTAACGCAGAGACATAGGTTCAGTTTGGCTTCATGCGTTCTTCACAGGTGTCAAGCAGAGGGCCATTTATTAATATTGCGCACCGGTGTGTAGCCACGCCCACACAGAAAATAGGTCACTGGGTCAATTGAGGACATACATTCAACAACTGCTGTAATCTAAAACGAGGCTTGACTTGCCCCTTTAGAGCACTGGAGAAATAGGCCATTGGGTGACTTATATAAAAGCTACAGTTAGATTCTGATAGCAGACAGTGTGCTTAAAACCTAGAAAGAAAAAAGGTTAATCAAAGACAGAGATAAACAAAACTAGACATCTATTTTGGGTAAAAATCCAATATATTTAGATAACACTCTGTAAAAAATATTCCAATATATCCACCCAGAAGATAGGCCTAAATCATCTCCACGTCTGTGAAGCAGTACTTTAAAAACAATGTAATACGACACATGTTATTTTGCAGTCGTTTACTATTGCTGCGTCATAGCATTAATTACGTTTTCTTGTCTAATCTATCTAGTAACGGCTCTGCACTGACCAAGCCATTTTGGCCAGCTTTTCAGTGTGTTATGATAATTTTGCCTTGGTGAAAATAGGTGCTAGTTTAGTTAGCCTGAAACGGTGAAATGATGGCGAGCCAGAGGAGAGAGTTACCCAAGTCAAGAGGAGAGGAGAGGTCAGAGGCAGGGGTGGCGGCCGCAGCTTTAGAAGGAAAACTGGAGAAAGGAGAGTAACCTGCAATACAAGAAGAGGAAATATGCAAAAAGGGTTGAAAGAGGGAGTCAAGCAAATGAGGAAATTTATAAATTATATTTAGTGTGGAAGCAGCACAGGCAGAGTACAGGCAGGAGAGTTCAGCTTCAACAGAATAAATGTGGGGTTAGATAGAGCAGTATCTCTGGCAATGCATCACAAGTAATAATACCCTACCTATATTTAAGTTATGATGAACGGGTTATTGACGTTTAGCTAGATAGTGGGTCAAAAAAGTACTTGATTGTTCTCAAAAAGTCGAGAATAATGATGTGAACGTTGGAGAGATATTTCACCTGGTGGGGGAGCTCCTGGTTGGTAAGCAGACACTGGGCCGTTATAGGGGTCGTAGGGAGCGTGGTACCCCCCGTCCAGAGGGCCATACCCAGGCTGGGGCTGGCCGTACGGAGAGGCCATCGGAGTGTGCTGGTTTACATTCATCTTCAGTTCATCCCTAAATCTGTAGAGAAAAACAGAATATATTAGTTCAACAATACATTTTAATGACGATTGCACTTTGCCTGGTTATGTGTGGGCATCGCAAACTAAATGCGGATTGTGTTGACTCTGTGAAATATTTAAATAAACAAATAAAATGAAAAAACTAGACATTCTTTGTTATTTACAGGAAGTCAGAGCAGATTTCTTATTGCAGATTTGAAAATGGGAACAAAGTAAGCTCGTCAGTTTTCTGCCATGATAAAGACCACATGTTTGTGTCGGTTATTACTTTAACAAGGCTTTTTCTGTTGGGATAAACTATGCATTATTTATTAGACATAAAAGTTAAATTCCCCAGCTTTAGTACCCCATACTAAAGACGTCACTGAATTGTTGTATTGTGTTCCAACTGTATAATGAGATCCCTAAAAGCCACATTGCGTCTGTAAACAAGCTCTTCATCAGCATAAATCGTGCAGCCGTTTTATATTTTATCTTTTGCTTTGTGCTCGACTCAGCGAATCAGACTGCAGATGCTGAAGAAAAGTCCAAACTAGTAAAGTAAGTATTCCGACTAAATGTCCTCAATTTTCATGTCAGGGCTGAGGGCAAGATGACGGGTTGATTGACATAGGAGCCTCCCTTAATTAGATGCAAAACTGTGCTGGTCAAGCTGAATTTTCTAAAGAAACTGAGTCAAGTCTAAGGGCAGGGCAAGTTTATTTTTGTCGCACAGTTCATACACAACTCAACTCAAAGTGCTCAATAAAAAAAGATAGATAAAAATCGCAGTACATTAAAAAAAGTGAAGATACAATACCTCAGATGTCTACACAGCTAAAGAGAACTGTTTTTTTAACCTAGATTTGAACTTTGTCAGAGTAGAAGCCTGTCTCACATTTTCAGACTATATTTTATCTGCATGAATCTGAAACGCTGCCTCCTCATGTTTAGTCCTGACTCTGGGCATCGACAGGAGGCCAGTCCCTGTGCTCTTTAGAGTCTGCGTGCAAAGACCTGAGACCAAGACTAATGCGATCATACTTCCGGACCAAAAGACCAAATACTGTACTTCCTGCTTCTTTGGCTTCACCTGTATTGGTTTGTGATGTCGGACTTTGGCCACTCCTTGACCTAAGCCGCCGGGGTTTTGCATTTTAGTACAGAGCAGGAGCCACCAGTGAAAACAAGCCAGTAATATGAGCACAGCCAACAGTAGACTACACTTTGTGGGCACCTGGGATTAAATGATATGCCTGATACCACAATGGAGGAGTATGTAATGTCTAGCTGAAGTAGTGGGCTATTGAATTTGTTCCACTCAACACTTGTTAGCTAAATACACCAAATAAAACCAACTTCTTAGTGTCAATTCGAAGAGAATAAAGTTAAATCTTGTTTACTTTCAGAAAAAAACTTATTTTCGTTTTATTTAAATACTTTACTCCGAACCAAAAGACAACTAAAATTAGGCTAAAAAAAAGGTCTATGTTGAGATGGGAGTAGGGGACATACAAAGTTACGCTAATAAAAAGACAAGGGCTGTTTTTGAGCTGTATAAAGTTATTTGATTTTGCCATAGAAATTATGCATCATCAACAGATCTTGTATAATGTTTAAAGCTGGGGTACCCAACTTTCAAACAACAACCATTATGAAACTATGTAGCAAAATCCATGTTCCAGTATTCACACACATGTATTTTTTGGCCTCTGTCACATCTTTAGATTGTCATTTATCTGTCTGAAAAGGCAAAGAGGCCCACTTATCCAATCAGCTTTCAGCCCAACGTGACAAATAGTGACTCATATGGGGCTTTATTACAGGTATGGAGAGGACGACATGTTTTCTTGATGTTTTAGACATTTGTCGTGGTCTGATTTGTTCACAAAATGCTACTTTTACAAATGACATTACTTTTCGGTAGAGGAGGGGAGTGAAGTTACGTATCCCAGGTTTAAAAAATTAAAAATAAAATTGTTCACCCATACTCGAATAAATGCCCTGGACTTTTCTGAAATAAGTTTTGGGACCTTTGTTGTCAGTCATGGCAGAGTAGCCTTGTATATTTATCAAGCCTTCTGGAAACCCTAATATGACAGCGTGTAGAGTATCAGCTGACAGACAAACTCAGGCTAAACGAGCGAAGCAGCTGAATTATTCATAAACCAGAGTCACACCGAGAAACACTATCGCCGAGCCCGGTACAACACACACCAAGCTGGCGTGAGGGGCCCGCGCTGCTGACCCACATGTGATTATGACGGAGACCACTGCTGAAAAACAGTAAAATAGGCTGGAAGTGTTGGAACAAAAAGTGACTGATGAGGAAACTGATAATTGTGCCTTGAGGAATTTCCAAGTGTGCCATTTTGAATATTTAGATGGGATTAAGGAGGAAAAGCATTCAAAAGGAGTCCTCTGGCCACTGCAACAGGGTCAACGTTTTAACTTACATAATTTGATGATTTTCTGGTATGAATCTGCGACAAACGGATGATTCGGCAGCATTGCACAGTCATTTTTGCTCAAACAAAACATACGGTAATTTCTTTTATGTTGAGCTTTTTATAACAGTGTTTCAGATAAATACTGAGAGTTCATAAATACTGACTTTATCATCATATAGATTATTACAGTCAGTAGAGATTATATGATTATTCCGACACGGTGGGACAGAGTTAATTTGTCCCAAAAACAAACAGTGAATTTGTCTCACAGTTGTGCCACAGGTTACAGACGGAAAGGGGAGAATACAACACAAGATATGAATATGAGAAGAAGTGAATATGAAGTCATGAGTGTCATGAAGTATCACTGGAACAGATAGAAGCATGGAAGTTTCATTTTTTTAATTGGAATATTGTATGAACACTGCACAGGGTCCCCAACTTTTAACTTTCACATCACATTTCTGGAAAACTCTGGTGCCTAAGGGTTGAGGCTGAAGAGTTGTAACTGTTACTATTATTGATCTTTATCAGTTTTAAAGAAAGTCCCATAAAAAATCTCATTTACAGGGGAGTCTTGGCCCCAGAGAGAGGAGAGATGTTTTTAGTGGTAGCGAAAACCGGAGCACCCGGAGGAAACCTACGTAAACACAGGGAGATCATGCAGACTCCACTCATTGAAATTTGAACCCAGAGGTGCTAACCACTCAGCCACCAACAAGGTCCTTTAACAACAAAGTCCAGACTTAAAACACGTGCCAAAATACATGTTACAAAACAAAAAGTAGGACTAGTCTTATTTTTGTTGCGCTTTATTTGCTTAAAAATGCCTTTAAAATTCTGAACATATTTTTTTTTCCACTTAGAGCCCTCCAATGAAAGATAATCAGACAGTATGTTATGTGCTTGTAAATGTAAGTTACTTTGAGTCATTTAATGTTGATGTTTTATTACAAGTTCAGAAATACAAGTGTGCTGGCCGGGATTCTCAAGGTTGAAAAACACTGTCATAGATGGGGACTGGAAAAACAGATTTTTTAGCACAGTGAAAGCTGGAGCAACAACGGATTACATAAGCACATTCGACTTTGTGATTAACATGCTAAGACGTGTTTTCGATGGAAATTCCACTTTTAAACAAGGCGTGCATAAGTAAAAATGTGGTAAATCACTAAGAGGGGCCTGACCGGTTATGCAAGACTCAAACTAATAGGAAGGACAGGTGGTCATCCCATCTGAACTGGACCTTCAGAAATAATACACCATATTGAATAAATAACTGCAAATTCAAAGCACTCTATGCTTTTTATTATTCTGTTTAAAAAAATGCATTGTTACGTATAAACCGAGAGGAGATATGGGTAATACATAAAAATATCTAGATTTAAATAGCTTCACTTGCCATGTTTATTTTGCCCAGTGCAGTCACGTGCAAATGTTTATAATGTATAGCAATTAGCAACGCAATCATTTTCACTGCGTTTAGGGAATTGGCTACAACACATAAGGTGTACTCAGTCAATGGTAAACAAACATTGGGAATGGGATGGTTGATTCAAGTCCATTTGTCCAAGTTATTACAAGTTATGCAATGGATAAACTCAATTCTGACGCTACAACAGATCTAAATAATATGAAATAGGTAAATGAATATAATTGTATCCGGAAGAGTAAGGTTATAAGGTGTTTTGATACACAATAGGGTTAATAACAACTGGAGCTGACAGTGCCGCATTACACTGCGCTAACTTGCTAGCATAGTGACATGACAACCCTAACTTATGCAATTAACTTGGAAATTTAACCACAACTTATAAAACAACATAGAAATAGAGGTTTAATTATGACTATGTACAGCGAGAGGCTAATTGATGGTTAATTCATACGGCAAAAGACTGCGTCAAACAGGTTGTGCTACACTGACAGCAGCGGTGTTGGAATCAGCTGTGCTAACATGCTAAGCTAACATGCTAAGCTAACATGCTAAGCTAACGCGGAGCTAGCATGAGGGGCTAACGTAGTAAAAGCCCGTGTCCAGCGTGGATGTCACGCTGTATTCCCGCGGGACGTACCTCCCAGCAGCGGTGAAGGGTAAGGCTGTCCTCTGGCTGGTGTGTTGGATGAACCCGGGGCTAGATCGGACACTGTGAGGCCAATGTCGTACCGGGGAGTTTCACTAATCCTTTTCGGTTTCACGGAGCTCTGGGCTGAAGCCGAAGCGGACATCCAGCGGAACTGCCGCAGCCTCTGCCACGTCCACATCCGGGAAGCACGCTCCTCCTCCGGGCTTCAGCTCCGACTGCTGCCCGGGGAACTCACAGCACTGTCTTGACTCTGTTACATTATTATGACTAAATATATTCATGTTTATCAGAGTAATGTTGTATCAGCTAAAGTGTGATTTATTCATGAATAAATGTAACCGGTGTAACAAAGGCCTTTGTGCGTAGTGTTCAACTCCACAAACACAAAACCCTTCAACTTTAACGCCATTAAAATCAATGGAATTATGAAAAAAATACCAAAAAACATTCGTAGTGTTTTACAACTTTTATTGAAATTATGCAATTCATCTTTAATACATGCTAAAACACATGCTAAGCACTTGCTGGAAGAAAAACAAGCTACTCAGCTCAGAACCTTGAGAAAGAGTTTAACCCAGGGACGTGCAGTCAGGGGAGGCAGGGGAGGCAGAGCCTCACCTGCCATTATTGGAAACTAATAATTATTTTAGTTTAAATATATAATTTATATCCACTGTCCTATGCTTTTAATGTATATTCGGCACGGTTCCCATCAGTTTTGATCATTTCTGAAGTCAAAATCGCCGAAATCCCGTTATTCCTATTCAAAGAGACGAGGTGAGGCAGCGCTCCTGCGTGCCTCACCCCAGACCGCTCCCTCACAGTGTGTGTGTGTGTGTCTGAGTGCACTCAGCTCGTGCAGTTGATATATCACCGTTTGTTTCAAATATCCTGCTTTAAAAACATTTTTTAAACTCCTCTTAGTGTTTAGTAGTGTATTGCACGTATGTGTGTACAATTTATATTTAGTTTAAGTCTTTTGATCGTAGATGAACACACAAGGAAAAAGCTTGGCGTGAGGCAGGCGGTATCTGTGCCTCACCGCTAGGGGTGATAGTGAGCATAAAGTTCATACCAGAGTTGCTAACAAACAATCAGCCCAAAATGCTATTTCTTTTGCTGGAAAATGGATGATTTGAATGAAGATTTTTTTTCTCAATTGGACTTTCAAACAAAGAAAGAATTAATATAGACTGGGAGACCACCACTGGACTTACGAGGTTAGTCCGGCTGCGGGGGAGGAGTTTGTTAATCTGTGTTTTATGTTGAACATTGACAGATACCGGCAAAGTAGTGCTTTTCCGAAAAACACTGATTCAAACACTGCTCAAGAGTTCTGCAACTTGTTTAAATTATTGTTTATGTTCCTCGCGTCTCTCTCTCTCGCTCCGTCTCTCTCTCCTCGCGTCTCTCTCTCTCCTCGCGTCTCTGTCTCTCTCTGCTCCTCTCTGTCTCTCTCTGCTCCTCGCGTCTCCGTCTCTCTGCTCCTCTCTGTCTCTCTCTGCTCCTCGCTCTCCGTCTCTCTCTGCTCCTCTCTGTCTCTCTCTCTCCTCGCGTCTCTCTCTCTCTCCCTCTCGTCTCTCTCTCTCCTCGCGTCTCCGTCTCTCTCTGCTCCTCCGTCGTCTCTCTGCTCCTCGCGTCTCCTCTCTCTGCTCCTCTCGTCTCTCTCTCTCTCTCTCCTCGCGTCTCTCTCTCCTCGCGTCTCTCTCTCTCTGCTCTCTCTGTCTCTCTCTGCTCTCTCTCCTCGCGTCTCTCTCTCTCGCGTCTCCGTCTCTCTGCTCCTCTCTGTCTCTCTCTGCTCCTCTCTGTCTCTCTCTGCTCCTCTCTGTCTCTCTCTGCTCCTCGCGTCTCCTCTCTCTGCTCTCTCTGTCTCTCTCTGCTCCTCGCGTCTCCGTCTCTCTGCTCCTCTCTGTCTCTCTCTGCTCCTCTCTCCTCGCGTCTCTCTGCTCCTCGCGTCTCCGTCTCTCTGCTCCTCTCTGTCTCTCTCTGCTCCTCTCTGTCTCTCTCTGCTCCTCTCTCCTTGCGTCTCTCTCTCCTCGCGTCTCCGTCTCTCTCTGCTCCTCGCGTCTCCGTCTCTCTCTGCTCCTCTCTGTCTCTCTCTGCTCCTCTCTCCTCGCGTCTCTCTCTCCTCGCGTCTCTCGCACCTGCGCTTCTTAAAGATGTTGTTTGATGCGGAGCAGAGTCAGCAGCTAGATTTGTTGTGAGATTATTAAAAGAAGCTGGTTCTCTTATCTTTACAGTATATAAAGTTTGTGGATGTCATTGCATTGGTGATTAAATGCTATTTTATTTGAATAATGATTGTAAATCTGACTTTTAAAGTCAGTGCCTCCCCAATCACAAACCTCACCGCACGTCCCTGGTTTAACCGCCATAAAATGTTGGTTGCCCAAAATTGCAACAATTGAATATTACATTAAACTGAATAGAGCAGTCAAAAGAAAAAAAAGTATGAAAGATTCTTGGTTATTAAAAATGTACGTTTAAGAATGTGAAAAATGTCCTACCCAAAATACCCATTTGGACCAGTCATATAAAAAAATACAAAAGCAATTATAAGCAATATCTTGTAAGTGCCATATATGAACCAACCAGGACTCTGAGGAACACCCAGAGTCTAGACTAAACATGGAGAGGCAGTGTTTTTGTGTCTTTGTTGAAGGGGCAGCCATCTACCACAGGTACAATAGGCTGTGGCTGTGGACCCACCACCAGCTGGAGGAACAGCAAGGGCCTGGTGCTTTGTGAATGGGTGGCAGCTCTGATTGCCACCCCCGTGACCCTGACATGAATAAATAAAGGGATGAAAATTAAACGAAAAAAAAAACAAAACAAAAAAAACAATGTTGTCAAGCAAATCTTAGATGCATTTAAGTTTCTCATATCCCCTTTACATTATACATTTTTTCATAACAAAAAACATCTTGGGTACAGTCTTGGGTTTCTAAACAAGATTGCTTTCATTTTGAAATTGAACATTGGATATGAAATTGTGACTTTTGTAGTTTAGTCTAAAATAGTTCCCATGGCACCAGCACCGATCCTCAAGTGGTGCTGTAGTCTTTAATGCGGCTATCCCATGATTACCCAGGGCCACAACAACAGCTGAATTTTGTAGGAGTAGGTGACATGAATTGTGGTTGGCTCGAATCCAAGACCACTAGGTTCAAAGACCAATGCTCTTCCAACCGAGCCACTGTCACCCCTACATTTTTATTCAGATACCTCAAATATTTCCCCTCCACAGCCGGGATTTGCCCCCTGACGTCTGGTCTGGCCGGACTGCATGACCTATCTTTCTCTCCTGGGTCACTGTTTGGTGGTGGGAGGAGGGGAGGTCCTAATGCACGCTATTTCAGGAGCACATATCTGCAATGAGTGAGTGTTGTGGAGTGACAAGGCAAGTGTTGAGACAAGAGGATGACCACAACAGAGCAACGACAAGGCGGTCCAGGATTCAGTGCTTAGAGAGACATACCCCCACCTTCTACTACCGCCTACCACCTACCCCCTATCCCCTACCGCCCACCAAGAGCTTCGATTGCACGGGTGAAGGACAGACTAGAGCGAGCAGAGGAGAAGTGAACTAGTTCCTTTTTCTCGTCTGGTTGTCGGACCAATCGTTTTGATGGTGGTGGAGGAGATCTTGGTGACCCTCTCTGGTGGTGCTCCATGGGGCTTCAGGCTGCAAGGAGGAGCGGAGCAGCAGAAACCCCTCCAAGTGGCAAAGGTATTGAGGATTATTGTATTCAAATTGGGGGACTAGATCTCTTTGCTCAAATAAGATTTTAAAAAATGTGTCCCTAGAGAAATAGTTTTGTAAAAGTCAAACTTCAGACAACAACGTGCTTGTAAAAAACACATATTTGGCAAAATATTTGTAAGAAAGAGCTCTGTGAGTCACTATTTGGCACTTTGGGCTGATAGCTGATTGGCTGAGTGAGGGAGGTCCTCTCTTTTTCACTTTTTGTTTGAAAAAGCTGATCTTCTGGAGCCTGGAGGCCAAAAATACATGCGTGTGAATGCTAGGGATTGAACCAAACTGTTTTGAGGGTTGACTTGTTAAATTGATTTGATTCTAGTTGAATGAATGAACTTGGACTATGATTGGACTACAATTGGATTGGATTGGACTAGGATTGGACTAGGATTGGACTAGGATTGGACTAGGATTGGACTAGGATTGGATGAGGATTTGTCATCTTAAGTTAATCATTTTACAACTACTGGCCTTAACCAAATGATTTGTCCAATTTAGAAAACATTTGGTAATCATATTTGATGATCATCCTTGTGATTATTCTTTCCATTGATCAATTGTTAAAAAGCCAGTGAAATGTTCTGTGTATATTTGAGTGTAACAGAGTTAGGCTGAAGCCACCAAAAAAAACATTCTGACATTGTTTTTCAATTGTCTTATTTTTTAGATGACATTGCGACTGTTTGTGTATGTATATAGATGTATAGATATACATATACCCCATAACAAATACATACGTTTACATAATGTGTTTTGTTAGGCACTTTGTTAACATTATTTTGAATAGTTTGATTTTCTCATTGAGCTTTCATGTTGTCGTGTGTGAGAGGATGTATGCATTATCTTCATTCTATGTAAAATGTATATGTATAAAATATCAATGTATTTGTAGAAAGTGGTAAAGACTGTGTTTATAAACTGCACTAAACTAAATTAGCAGAAACTAACTAAATTGCCGATAATCCACTATGACATCTTCATCCATACAACGTCAATATGTATTCCCAGATGACTTCTCCAGATGACATGACCCAGCAGTGACTTTAAAGGGTAACTGGAGTGCACTGGTGGAGAGGATTCTGCAGCTGTTAATTGCCGCTTGAGGTTCGAGGCTCAGTTTTGTGGTTTTGTTTGTAAGTAGAGCTTTAGCAAGAAACAAGATCGTCTGGATCGTCTCTAAACTGCCACTCTGGGGTTTGTAAGATGGGTTGAGGTATCTTTTGTAATGCAGAAGCCAAGTCTTCAAAGGACCTAGTCGAGTTAACAGTTGCTTTATGTCCTGCTTTGTTTACATTCTTCTTCTTTATTTATTTATTTTTGCACTGCTGAAATAGAAAAATGTAGATACATGTTTATTTGATTTCACAAACATGCAAGATCTGGTGTTTTCTTTGTTTGTGGAGATTGTTTAAAGCATTTTGGGTTCATTATTTAGAACAGAATGCATGTAATAAATGTATAACATGCCAAAGTAGCTTATATTAAGTTACAAGCCTTTATTGAGTATTGAGTCCTGATTCATTTCAATAAGCAACAGACTGGTGTGTGGTTAACAGCCGGGAAGGGTCCAGGGACCTCATAGAAATGGGAATTGGGCCAGATGTGACCCCCTCGCCGCACTTTGCTTCGGTCTGCTATGGACCAATGGCTCCTATGTGTTTGATATTATTGCATTTCTGTTTACGAACTGTTGGATTCTCTGATCTGTTGTTGGTGATTCAACTTTGTGAAGTCCTCCGAGACGACTGCTGTTGTAATTGAGAGCTATGCAAAAATGAATTGGATTGAATTAATTTCCTTCCATCTTTGTGCAAGTTCCCACCATGTGAACTTGTAAACCTGTGTTTTACTGCGTCATGCCTTGAGATACCAAACATAACCAGAAGCTAATGTGGCTATCCCTAATACCCATACTACTTTTAAACTTGTTGACAATCAAGAATGCCTTCGTTGATGGGGAACTCTATTTTAAAACTGGGAAATGTCCCGACAGATTCTCACGTTTTGACTAAATTTAAGTAATCCAACCATGAAATATCTCGTAATGTCTCTTTAAATGGGATTTTCCAGGGCATCTGTGACAAAGACCTTCTCGGTTGGTTCTATCTCAGTGTCGAGGGCTTTTGCATCAGTGGGTGAGGTGGCACATAGCTCAGATAAGCCTTTGGGGAGAGGACACAGGCTCAGGGTAAGAATAGAACTTTGAGAGGAGCTGGAAGTACTCATGGAAAAGGACTCTGCTAACCCTGACCCTATGTGATAGATGATGTCTTCAGGCTTACAGAACACTGCTGCTTTGAATTTGATAAATGTTTCATCTTTATTTATAATTATTTGCTAATCATGGAACGAAGCCCTGGGAGAATGAACTGTGAAACAATCAGAACAAGCTATTGATTAATGTTAGTGCCATATGAACTGACTGGGACTCTGAGGAGCACAGGGACTGGCCTCCTGCTGGTGACTCTGAGGAGCACAGGGACTGGCCTCCTGCTGGTGACTCTGAGGAGCACAGGGACTGGCCTCCTGCTGGAGCTCAGACTCAGGACTAAATATGCGGCAGTGTTTCAGATTCATGCAGCTAAAATCTGGAACAGTCTTCCTGAAAATGTGAGAATGTTTTTTCTGTAACATCTGAAGAATTGTATCTTTGCTCCTTAAATAGATTAGTTGAATGTATTAGTTTTTATTGCATTTATTGTCTTCGAACTGTTGCTTCTCTGATTTGTTGTTGACAAATCGACAACTTTTTTGTTTGGTACTTAATCCATGGATGTTGGGAACACACTTGGCTGTAATCTTGTATCGTTTGATTTTGTTACATCTTGGACCTACTGTATTTTCCAACACAACAAAAATCTCTGAGCTCGGTCTTCTATTTTTGCTCCGTCTGTCTAGGAATGTGCTGTATTTCCCTGTTATGTTTTATTTTGGGTTTGTGTGGGACATATGGTGAGTGACTGGCATTCCTCCTGGTCCCTGCAGCTGTCTCCTCCCTCCCTCACAGTCTCTCACCTGTTCCAGAGCTTTGTCCCGGTCCCTGTGCTCCGGGATCTGACCCGCCGCAGAAATGGGTCATGGGAGAAAGACGAGGTTCAGGGACCCTTTAAGAGGAGACACAACAGATCAGAGAATCAAACTGTTTGAACACAGGAAATACAATAACATATAGGAGCCTTTTGTTCATAGGAAGCAGGATGACCAATGTTCATAAATGTCCTTAAATTTTCTGGATCAACACTCTCCTTAGACCCTCCTGCACCGGCAAGGAACGACTCCAAAAACAAACAGGGAAAAAGTGAGAAGCCTCGGGAGGCCTACATTGGAGATGGCTGCCAGACAGGGATAAGACATTTTCATTCATGTTTAGTGGTTGGGTGAAGCCATTTGTTTTCAAGGACAGTTATTTCTAGACAGTATAAAGGTTTTCCAACTGTTTTCACCCAGAGAGCTACTTTTTCTTAATTAAGCCGAGAGACAGTCACTCCAGCATGTCCTGGGTCTTCCCCTGGGTCTCCTCTCGGTGGGACGTGCCTGGAACACTTGAGGCGTCCAGGAGGCATCCGGAACAGATGCCTGAGCAACCTCAACTGGCTCGTCTCGATGTGGGGAAGCAGCGGCTCTACTCCGAGCTCCTCCGGTGTGACTGAAGTCCTCGCCCTGTCTCTAAGGGAGCACCCAGTCACTCTCCAGAGGAAGCTCATTTTGATTGTTTGTATCCGTGATCTCATCCTTTCGGTCATTACCCAAAGCTGACCAGTAAATCCAGAGCTTTGCCTTTCCACTCTTCTCCCTCTTCCCCACAACAGTCTGATAGAGCTCTGACAACAGACGCTGCTCCCTCTTCACCACAACGGTTCGATACAGCAACCGCATCCCTGAATATACAATGCACCACTGCCCTCAATCTCACTCTTCACTCTGCGGTCCCCAAACTGGACTCCCTTTGCAAAACATTTATCATCAAATATCCACTGTTGTGACTGTGTTTAGGTACGCAGGCGGAGTAAGGCGTGCCGAGCCGGGCTAAAGGAGCAGGACGAGCTGGTTTCCATCGGAGAGCACCGCTGTTCCGAGCTGAGCCATGCCGAGGCCATGAGTCTGTTGGACCAGCACAACACCACTCTGCTGCTGAGGATTAAGAGGTCAGACAGGACACAGTACAGCAGAAGCACGGGCAATGTCAAATACATAGAGTTAGAGCTTGAGCTAAACTACAGACTACAGATTACAGAGAGCATTGCAATCTATAGTAAAATGCAGATTCAGCATGAGCAGCCATCTATGAATACATTTTACTCTGCTTTATCTGTTGCTTAGCCATGCACTAATATTACCAGGACCAGAACTGAATATATAAATATATTTTAAAGTATAGTAGTAGGAAGTAAATTAACGTTTAGATAAAATACAGACCAATATAATACAAAAATAATCATTGACTCTTTAATTATTATAGCCTCCATCATGTGAATTTCCTAAAAATGCAGTCCCTTTGAGTTCATCTCTGTTCTCTCTGGTCTCTCTCTTGTCTTACTCTGGTCTTACTCTGGTCTCGCTCTGATCTCTCTCTGGTCTCTCTCTGATCTCTCTCTGATCTCTCTCTGATCTCTCTCTGATCTCTCTCTGATCTCTCTCTGATCTCTCTCTGGTCTCTCTCAGGTCCCTCTCTCTGATGTCTTTTTGACCTCTGTAAATTTCCCTTTGTGAGATCAATAAAGTATATCTTATCTTATCTATCTCTGGTCTCAGTCTGATCTCTCTCTGGTCTCTCTCAGGACTCTCTCTCTGATATCTTTCTGTTCTCTCTCTCTGGGTGTCTCTGATCTCTCTCTCCCTGAATGTATCTGATCTTTCTATCTCTGTAATTATGATTCTTTCTATTGTTCTAAAGTTAAGTACACCTGCTGTAACTTCCTAATATAACATTCTCCATACTCCTTTCCCTTAGACCTGCTCCAGGGTTTCTCTCCTCGCTGCCGTCCCGGATGTTCTCTCCACTCTCGGACGTCCTGCATCAGAACGGCCCCTGTGCTGTGGCGATCACCTCACCTCCGGACAGTGAGGCGTATTACGGAGAAACCGACAGCGACGCAGACACTCAGACCCTGATGCCACGCCGCCCGCGCAGGACCCCCCCTCACGCCCGCTCCCCGAGTCGCTATGACGACAACGAAGAGGAGACATCCGAGATGAGCGGGTGAGGGCAAGTTTTGTGCTAAACTGCAACAACTATACACAGCAAGTTACTTATTTACCATCGTCTTCAGTGAATCTCGGCCAACCATACAACCTTCAAACTCCTCAACAAGTAACTCCAAGTAGTCAATATTCAAGCAATGCCATTCCAGTTTCTCAATCTTCTGAAACCCCATGCTAGGTGATAAAATCGGAAACCAGAGTCGAAATCAGACTGAGGTGTCAAATTAAAGCTGGGGTACCTCACTTTCAAAGCAGACACAATGGAGCTATGTCATAACAATCTATCCAACTAGTTCCTTGCTCTGACTTGGACTTGGAAACTGCCTAAACTTAACTGTTTTTTGGGCTTGTTTCTTATTTACCTGTCCCTTTGTGAAGTATCTTTGAGTGTCCAAAAAGTACCATATAAGTGCGATATAACTATTATTATTAAGATTATACTATTTAATTCCAGTCTTTTTTTTGTATAATTTGACTTCCTGGTTATAAATTATGACATCACTAGAGAGATGATACTGACCAAACTGTGCAAATGAATAGTAGCAGGAGCCAACTTGGAGTGACTTTCTGTGACTTTCTGTTTCTTACAATAGCAATAAAAGAAATACTGATTCTAATTGAAGTGATGACACATTAATGAAGTGTGTTAAAGCTGAGGTACTTAACCTTTTTCATAAATAATCAATGTGTCGACAAATCATAAATCAATACAAATATTGACTAAACTGAATCTTTTCTTCAGATATGAAAGCGCTCCGGACGCCGCAATTACCGTTGGGGTCCCGAAGCGCGAGCTCGTGTTCCAACCCCTGCAGCCCGACTGGGAAACCCCGTCTCACACGCCTCACACCCTCACCCCTCGCACCCTGTCCCCCGGCCCAGAGGCCGACGGAGAGGGGGACAGTGGCTTCCAGGAGGCGGGAGGCAGGATTGTGGCCCTGACCTGCCCCCCTCTGGTTTCTCCAGAGCGGGCCAAGGAGGCGCTGATGCTGGCCTGCGGAGTGGTGCCCATGGTGGGACCCCAGGAGAGCGCGGTGAACGACGAGCTCTCCACCACCTACAAGGACAAGGCGCGGAAAGCCAGTGAGTGAAACATTTCAATATATGGTAATGCTTAAGACAGATAGATACTTTATTGATCCCCTGTTGGAGAAATTCAGGTGTCCAGCAGTAGAAACATATCCATCCATACAACCTACATAATTCTAAAAGTTACTATCAATAGTAATAAAGTGCAACAGCAGCAGAGGTGCTGTAGCACTACTACACTGCACTGATGATGAGCTGCTTCTTCTGGTTGATGTTTGCAGAGTTTGCTTGTTTTGTGCCATTTTCTCTGCTCTGGTTCAGAGTGAAATTCTGAATACTAAAAAATGTGCATTCCTTCTGCGGATTTGCGCTTGATATTCTCGGTTCGGCCACGCATCCATTTTTATCGTGATTAACCAATGTCCATAAATGTCCATACATGTCCCAGGTCCTCCCATTGCCAATGTGACATGTAAATTTCCCCATTGTGAGATCAATAAAGTTTATGTTATGTCATCTTATGTTGTCTTTAGACCCTCCACCTGCAAGAACAAGTATAAAAACAGTAGTAGAACAGACAGAAACCTTGGGGAGACCCATAGTGAGAGAGGATCCACTTCCATGCACTGACAGGCAGTAGATCAAGTTAGTTGAGCCACAGTGACAGCCAAGGGTAGAGAAAGGCTATCAACCTGGAATGCTGCCCCCTCTAGAGGCCATTGAGTTAAGTTCACAATCACACATCTACTTGAGGTTGAAATGTCTCTTCTCAGTTTGTCAGTATTTAAATCATGCGCCCCCCTCTCATCAGCCCCCTTTGCTGGTAGTATTTATATTTATAGCTGATAAAGATGTCTTGTGCTTTTGAATGTGGATTGCACAGCTGATTATGTGGACTGTGCGTTTGCGTTGTTGCTTCCTTTTGTGTGTTGGAAGTAGAAGCAGGAGCAAATGGCAACTTAGATATTCTCAAAGTTTAAAGCTGTGGTACCTAACTTCCAGAAAAAATAAATAAATATGATAACACGGTGTTGATAAACTACTACTATGGGGCACACGGACAGAAATGAGGCAACCATTATTTGTCATCAGCCCCTCCCACCACCACAAACCATTCTAGGCAATGTGAGAGAAGAGTCTTTCCTAAGGACAGTGATAGTTTTGCATTTTACAGCTGCCCCCCCATGACACTTGGCGTTCCCAGAGGTCTCACATCATGGTACTATCCAGGTCCTACCCTGCTTACCTTCAGAAGTCTGACAGGGTCTGGCTTTCACATACAGGTGGCGCCACTTATCTACTCCCTTTTTGACTGTCGCTCTCAGAAATGCCACATCTATCGCTCCACAGAATATCCACTGATTATTTGTTATTGCTTTGGTACAAAACAGTTGCAAGCTGTAAATAGAGGGTTGTTTTGGGCTGATCTAAAGTGCGTGCCATGATTCCGCTGGGGGCATTTAAAGGCTCGGATTAGACGCCTGGACCTTGACTTCATCTGAGCGGCTTCTGTGGACGTGGGCCAATGACACAGACCTCACCCCCTTGTCCCAACTCTAACACTGGAGCTCTACTATGGACCAGAGCTGTGCAGTCTGGGACCTGCCATTTCTCATGTTACACACAGGGGCAAGGAGGGGAACTGTGATGCTGTGATGCCAAAACAACATGTATTTGTCATCTGTGGTACGAACTTTCCCTTGTGGATCAATAACACTTTGTCTAAGTCTAAATCTAAATTATCGGCTGGTACTATTGTGGTGATTCTGGCTCAAATTGGCTCTTAAGTCTCTTTCTTTGACGTGTTGCCCCCAATTTAAATGCAGCGAAAGCAGAATTTCAGAAAGGAAGATTGGGAAGCATGTTGCCCTGCCATTCTGAGTCCTCCCCCTGCTACACACACACAGCTTTGGTTCTCAGTCCTCAGATCAAGCTGCTGTCCGTGCAGCAACCCACCTCCTCCCCGTCACCGCCGCTTCATTGTCATGTAATTGGCTAAGCTTCCTTCACCACCAGGGTTTTGACCTGGAACGTTCACAGGCTCATAATGTCCATTAAACTCCCTCTTGCAGACATCATACAGTATTTCGGTCGGGGTCTAATCACCAAAGATTAATTAGAACCTTTTATTTTCAAATGCATTAAAAATAGAAGCAGCTCATCATGCCTCTGCCGCGTCCAATTGTCCAGTCATGCATCATGCGTCTTTGTCTGGAGTCTTTACAGATTAACATTGACATTCACATATCACAAACGCTATAACTGTGGGGCTTCAATTACCTGGTTCCATCTATCATTTAAATGTAAATTCCAGTAAATATAAGAGGTTGTAATTTGCCAACTTTCCAACTGCCAATGTTCAAATAAACTGCTAGTTTAAAAATATTTCCAAGCAGTGTACTATGCGATGTGTAACCAGCTGAACAATGCATTTATGTACTAGCGTGTAAAGTTGTGATTAGAGCTTGTTTTTGGCAGTCTAATCCTCTCCAAACAGTCTGAAAGCCGATAGTATGATAGCTTCTCACTCATGGCCCTATTATCGTCTATATTCGCCTGTGGATAAAACCTCTGTCTGTGTTGGTGGAGGGTCGTCCCAACATGTGTGTGATGTGGGAGAGACAGGTGCTTGATGGCGCTCATAGAACAGGAATAGAGGGTTGACATCATGAGTTAGTTTGGGTTACTGGACACAGACAAAGGTCCACACTCCGCTCAGGGACAAGAGGAGGGAGCCGTCCTGGGAAATGAGGGATATCACAGAGGCAGAGCAACAAACTGTCATTGTGAAGAAAGGTAAGAGGATTATTATGAGCTGGAGATGTTGAGATGAGTTCTATTGGGAGTTTGGGGATAATTGCACTTAAAGAATAGGTAAAAAACGGCTTGAAATGGGCAAAATGTATTTTGATTTGAGGACCTTTTGACCGTCTTAGAGCAAGATTTGCCGATGGGACAAGCAGCAATGTCTTGTTTAAAAAGGATACAAGGAAATTCAAGACATTTCTCCCAACGAATGAGAAATTTATTGAAACTGCTCTTGAAATAAGACTCTGTATGTCCCACTGGCAAAACAAATGTACGATTAAAACATACATTTATTTTGCCAAAGAGTAAAAGCTCTTGAAGCACTGTTTCCCTCTTTCCTAGCTTTTTTCTTATGTTGTGTTGTGTGCCCCTCATTCCTACTCTTCTGTATCTTGGGTTAGTAGTAATAGGAAAAGTTTGGGTATTTTTTATACAGCATTGATATATTTTTAAAAATTATAATTGAATGTTTTTGAACAGGATTCAGTGGAGCTGGTTTATAGAAATACGCAAAAGATCAATAGTTGATCATACTTTAACCGACATTCTGGGATTGAATCAGGATATTAACCATGTACTGGCAGTTGTAAAATAACGTATTTCATTACATTCAAAGCAGGCAATTTATTATACATTTAACTACACTGAAAATGCAGATTTTTGTGGTCACGTTCATGTAATATATTCTGTCCAACTATCAAGTGCTGCTTCTAATACAGTACTGTATAGGATCAAATTGGACCATTGAAATACAAAGAGAAACAAAACCACTACTGCTTATAAAAATAATGATAATTATAACTTCATTTATTTGAATTAAAAAGACAATAAAAAATCAGAAGTGGCATATACAGATAAATAACATTTTGCAATTATCTGTAAGATTGTCCTCAAAGGTGTTATGTCCTTTTGCACATGTAATACAGCCGTTTCTACAAGTGCATTTTTGAAGGCACGCTATAACATAGAATGTTTGGTCAAGAAGTAAAAGCCAAAATCTTGACTAAACTTCAACAAAAACAAACCTAAACGTGGCTTAATTGTGTGTGATATTTTTGCATGATGCTGGTTTGAGTCTGAAAGGGGCAGAGATCAGACGTGACAGACAGCAGAGTGTGTCCAGGGATTTACAACAAAGAATTCCAGCCGCTCACAAAGTTAAGTCACTCGCACCAGGAAGCTGAGATCACTCCCCCATTCGACCAGGGCTACATGAGCTTCTTTATTATCTCATTCATATAAATATCCCCATCACAGCTGCGGCAGGAGGGGGAGACTGACGCACAGTTGGTCCGATGGATAAAACATTCTCAGTCAAATTGTTAAGAAAATGGAAAAGACAAACAACATTTGTTTTTCTCTGTGAGCTTGTCCATCAAAGGTTGTTACCATAGTCTTTAGCATGGTTTTTCAAGCTGTGGTACTTTGAGTAGTTTTATTCCCATGTTTGTAATCCTTAGGCAAAGTAAAATAACTGTAAAAACTTGTTTAAGATAAGATAAGAGTTCCTTTATTTTGTTGTTGCAGCGCACATGCAGGACAGTAGTAAGAGCACACAGGGAGCACACATATACAAAAAACGTAGTAGCTATGTTTCTTAACTAGCATAACTGGCTGTAGATGCTAGAAATGCTTCAATACCAGTAAAAAAATATATACATGAAGAGGACCAATATACTGAAGCCAAGAGAAAAGTGTATGGGGAAATTTTACCGTTCATACATCAGACAAAAAGACACAACAAATACTTCTGCTCTGAGTGATTGTTCATAGACCTATAATATAATATAAGTCCACTTTGTATTTGAAATTATATATGTATGTATTTATTTGGATGGTCTCTGCAAGTTTCTGCTTTGGTCCTGATTTGGACCTGCTTTAAACAGTAGTATGGTTTTGTTTCGACCTGGTTCAATCCTATTTGCTCTTGCCTATATCTCCTGCACTGGCTTCTGGTTGGTAGGGTTTCTTGTTTCAGTTCCCAGTTTTGGACACTGTGATATAGAATAGGAGTTAGCAGCAGACGTGACATGCAAAATCTACAGTTGAAGTAGTTTTCCCTTTCATTTCCACTCTTAAAGTTGGAGTGAGTGATGTATTGATATTCCCTGAAGTCTTTAAGCCATTGTTCCCCTAAGCTTCACCGACCTTTGTCTAATATCTGATTAATTTCCCTGTGTGTTTTTCAGAGCTGCAGCGAGGGGAGAGTCAGGTGGAGAAGCAAGTGAAAGAAGCCCGCACTAAATGCCGCTCCATCGCCTCTTTGCTGACGGACGCCCCTAACCCCAACTCAAAAGGGGTGCTTATGTTCAAGAAGCGTCGACAGAGAGCAAAAAAGTACACACTAACCTGTTTTGGTAAAGCGGCAGAAGACAAAGGCTCAGAGACGGAGGGGGAGACAGAAGAAGAAGGAAGTAGTTCAATCTTGAGTGGATCTGAAGTCGACGAAGAAGGTTTTTCCACATCTTACGACCCAACTTGGGATAGCGGGTATTTTGACTTATTAGAAAGAAGAAGCTCAGCCTGTCCTTCAACTACCCCAACAACCCCCACATCCAATTCCAACTTTGCACTGGATTTCTCGTCCAATCAGACCCCTTTGTTTGGGTGTTCCAATTCAACAGTTCAAAGCCCCACGTTGGAGGCTATACCAGGTCTTGACACGTTGGCTTATCAGAATACACCAATGTCTCCGCCAGCTATGGCTCTGACTAATGGCGGGACAGTAGAGGTTAGCCGTGCTAGCGTTGTGCTTTCTCCACCATCACAGACCCCATTGACAAGCCAAAACGCTCAACAAGATCATGCTAACTACGATTCAAACACAACTTTGAGTCCAAGTGGAGGTAGTAATGTCCTGAATCGAACTGCTCGCCCATTCGGTCCGGGTTCTGGTCCTCCATCCCGTCCATCTGTGACCTCTGTGATGTTTCGCCCTCCTCAGCCTAAACCGGTATTCGCACCTTCGCCCCCTGTCACTGCAGTTTCAATGATGACCCTTTCGTCCCCGCGCCAACCTGATCCAAAACGAGCTGTCTCAAGCACTTCTTTGTACATACCTGCGAGGAACCCCAACGGCAACGCATCTGAAATATCTTCAATTCACTCTCCGCCGTCTTCACTGTCTTCTGCAACCACAGTCTCCCAGCCAGCCCCGAATCATGCAATGTATTTGCCACCGCCATCTTCAATTAACCCTGCTCAGCCTTTCAGCCATCAAAATCCACAACAAAAAGCTTCGCCAGTGAATCCAAACTATCAATATGCAAGCAGTCTTCCTCCTAACTCCCAAAACTATACACAGCAAGCTACTTATTCACCACCTTCTCCAATGAATCCTGCCCAACCATACAACCTTCCACCCCCTCAACATGTAACTCCAAATTGTCAATATTCAACCAATGCCCTTCCTATTTCTCAAACGTACGTACCCCAAGCTACCCAAATGCCAATTCAGCCACTGACTACGAATACACCTGTCAACCCACATTACAACACTCAAGTCTCAATGCCTTCTTGCAATCCTCTGCCATCTCCTCAAGTTCCCTGCAACGATTCTCTAGAGTCCCGTGAGCAGCGCATTGCAGTGCCTGCCGCCCGCACCGGTATCCTCACTGAAGCGCGAAAACGCAGCCAGAAGAAGCCAATGTTTAGTGCTATACAAAGCAAAGACGTCAACCCAAATCCTGACTTGCTTTCTATGGTTCAAAACATGGACGACCGCTTCACTAAAGGTCCCACTGTTGAATCTAGCGGCGGGAATCCTGTACCAGAAGCGGGACATGAATCTGGACCAGAGGAAGATTGGTTGCGATTGGGTGCCGAAGCTTGCAACTTCATGCAAGCACAACGTCAACCCAAGCCACCTCCAGTTGCGCCAAAACCTAGAGGAGCTGTTGATAATCAAATTGAAGAAAAATCCCAAACTCCCCAGATGCCAATTCTTGGAGGAAAAGGGGGTCAACTGTTTGCCAAAAGACAAAACAGAATGGATCGTTACGTTGTGGAGAGATCACCATCTGTTGCCGCAATGCCTTACTCACCAGCGCAAACCAGAGAACCGTCACCTACACCTTCACTTCCTGCAACTTGGAAATACTCATCAAGCATTCGCGCACCACCGCCAATCAACTACAACCCGCTTCTGTCGCCGTCTTGTCCATTAGTTGCGCAAAAGAAGCAGGAGCCTCCAAAATCTCGCTCAGTCAAAACCAAAAAACCAACTCCAAAGCCAGTTGACCTCATGAATCATCAGCCTTACCAACTGAACTCCTCATTGTTTAGCTACGGCGGAGGTGCAAACCAAGATACTACCAATTCTCAAGCCCCAATGGGTAAACCTGGAAGTGTCCACAAAACGGCAAAGGTTTTTGAAATCAAACGTTTCTCGACTCCGCCACCCATGACATCTGGCATGGAGTTGAAAGTTATTGCCCCACGATCGGCCACCACTCTTGGGGAACCGATGTGGCGATCTGACATAGCATCACCACCACCTCATGCTAACGTCACCTCTTACCAAGCTCCGTACCAGCAACAGCAATGGGGAGGTTCCTTCTCTCCTCCACCCCCTGCTCCAAATGCTCCTCTACCCCAGCTCCCCACTTTTTCCTCCCCCCTGAAGGCAAACCAGTCCCCCAGTGCCCCACAGAGTAACAGGCCGTTTAAAAGTGTTCCCGAATTAAGCCCTCTCAGTCCACCTGGGTCATCTTCTCAGTACAGGGTCCCAAAGCCGAGGTTCAGCACTTCCAACCTGGGACTGCAGCCTAGTGTGTGGAGGCCTGGTTCTACTACTATGTACTGAGATGGCAACTACTCAAGTCAAGCAATGTCGGTGATGGCACCCAAACAACCACTGCTGCCCAAAGTGTAGCTAACAGAATGCATGGCAAGATAAAAACAGTAGAAATTATGAGAATCTATCTTCTCACCTTGCATTTAAGTTTTTTTTTCAGCAAGGACTTGAACGTTATATTGAATATATTGAGTATGTTATCATTAAATGAGCCCAGTTAAGTCTTGCTTAATGCTGCAAAAATATAGGGGGAAAAAAATATCTTTTCCAGTTCTCCGATAGATGTGAGGAATTTGATCAAGCAGTATTTACCGTAATTCATTAAAATTCTATTTATATATATTTTTGTTTAGTCCTAAATCACAACAGCGGTTTTCTCAGAGGACTTTACAAAGTTCTCGATTCACCAAGCACAGATCAGAGAATCAAACAGTTCAAACAAAATCAACGCTGTCCTTAGACCTTCCTGCATCACCAAGGAACCACTCAAAAAGGCTGTAGAACGAGGACTGAGGCTGATTCCCCTCTGGCACGCAGAGACAGCAGTAATAGTTCATCTGTAGTGAAATCACCTGTAATGTTTTATCAATAACCACAATTTTCTTTTGTACTCTTGATGTGTGAAATTTTGGGGAACACTGTTTGACAAGTATAAAATTAGTTAAAGGTGCTCGGTGGAGTCGAATACATAAGCATTGTTCTCAATCATCTGTTTCTCTTTTTATTTCTTTCAAACAATCGTGTAACATTTTCCAATGAATGACTCTCACAGCATCTTTAACAGAAAGGGCATTGACATTTTGGAAGAAATTGTTGCGGTCCCAGGAAGTGTAAATATTGTGCTGGAAATTGATGGAATGTTGAGGAGGATGTGTTTATAAGAGGATTATTGAGAGGAATATGAGTTCCAAGGTTTTGATTTGATGGCTTTTTTATGTCACATGTTTTAAAATTTGTATGTGTTTTGGCAAAACAATATAGACAGTTTTAATTCATTCATAGTTTCTATTTGAGAGTATCTCTGACAATGAACCAACAGTAGCAAAAGACTTTGTATAAAGTATTTATAAAAAATATGATATACTGCACTTTTAAATTAAATTCAGTTAAATCTGGGGTATCTAACTTTCAAGCCACAAGAAATACTATGTAATGAAACCCATCTGACTAGTTTCTCTCTCTCAAAACAATTTGGTTCTATCACTAGTTATTTGGCCTCTGTCGCAGTTGTGGATCAGGTTTTCTAGACAGAAAGGTGATACAGCTCTCCGCCCAAAGAATCAAATAGTGACTCACAAGGCTCTCGCTATTAAAACAAGTGTGCAAGAAACACAAAGTTTTTCTTTTAGAAGAGAATTTCTAATGGAACAAGATGGAACCGGGTACTCCGGTTTCCCGTACCACTAAAAACATGCTCACTAGGTTAAATCCTCCAGCTCCGGTAGTCATTACCAAGCCGAGCATCAACATCTGGAGATGGGTTCCCGGGTGCTGTTACTACGGCGACCACTGCTCCTGACGTAAGCCTTCGCGGCATCAGGATGGGTCAAATGCAGAGGATTTAATTGCCCTATGGGGATTAATAAAGTGTACCTTTACCTTTACCTTTAAGAAAAACTTATGTACCCCAGCTTTAAGCAGATAGGAACTTTGATGAACCAAAAATCATGTTTAAACATTTATTCCATGTTGATTGTGACTTTGGTCCATATGCGTGTGTCGTTTTCTTTTGTTTTTCTGTCTGTTTTTCTGTCTGTTTTCTCCCTGTCTGACACATGCTGCACAATAAAAATCAACGTGTTTCACTCTCTGTGTTTCTTTTGCCTTTTCCACATGAAAACTAATAGTCTTACATTATTTACATTTTGTGCTTGTTCATATTTCAGGATTTCAACAGCTGGACTTTAACATTATTTCTGTTATGAAAAGGTTGCCATATAAATAGTTATTACCGCCTCTCTCCACTTGGGGGTGCTACAGACCTTCTAAAGTGATGTGTTATGAGAGCAAAGGGGGTTTAATCATATTTAAATCAACTTTGTCGTAAATGTAATGATGGTATATGTATTTAGCGACATGTTTACCATTGTTAGGTCTTTTTCCAGTTCAAAAGATATGCTTTAAGTCTGTGAGAAGAGAAACAAATCGAATGATATTTTTTGATTAGGAGATACTATACACATATATATTTCACTATATATTTCTATTTCAATATGTAATTAAACTTTGGAGACAGCAAGAGATTGAAATAAGAAATACAAAAACGAAAGTCAAGGTGAAAAATAAACTTGATTGAAATATCTAAAACAAAATACAGGAACCAGGGCATAAACAAAGAGCCAAAGACATTGACTATGGACAGTAACAAATGGGGAAGAGCACAGGGGACGTGTAGACACAGAGACACAAGTGAAACAAAAAAATAGGGGTGGAGCAGACTATCCAACAGTGGAAGGGGACAGGAAGTAAAACTAAAACAAAACAACACGATAACTAATGTGTACATAGAACAAAGTACCAAATACAAAAATAAAACATCTCCCTCCATGACAAAGGCTCACTTACAGACCTAAGGCTGGTCCCTTCACTGTAGCTTTATATAAACATTGTCCAAGTTAAAATGCATGCTGGCGTACAATCCCGATCAACAAACTCTCTATAACAAATGTACGATTCAAATATACACCTTTTTCTATCTTCACTGACTAATTGTTGTAGATTCAAACATCTTTCTGAGCATGTATAAAGCTTGGACGTTTGAAACCTATCCATGCCCACAGAACCTCTGACCCCGGGGCCCGGCTCAGATCAGGTGACAATTGAGGCTAACTTTAGCCGCTAACTTTAGCCCTGTGTGCTCCGCAGTAAGCTAATACCGAAGCCCCTGTGCTAGTGCAGGAGCAGGGCACGTCTTGTTGTGTTTGGAGAAGTATGTTTTGGTTCATAATAGGGCAACTTTCCCATCAGAAAGTCGTCCCCTTTCTCCCAGTTGCTACCACCCAACTACCTAGATCCATGCAGTTGCGTTCACGGTGTTTAAATGACAGAAAATGGCGCTAACTGGTTTTAATCTGGATTCACAAAAACATCCATAATCCTACTGTTCAAACTATAATGCATTTAAGTATTCAGATTTCACTATGGCCCCGTAGGTCTGAACAAATTAGTATTTGTTGAGAAGTGAACCAATCTGCAGGAGGACTGTCACTTCCAAACTTTACAATGGAAAAAGAAAAGTTTTCATTCATAGAACCCCATTGTTGAAATGTATTTGTCGTCCTTTATTAAGATTTTTTTTTTAATATTCCAACACATGGTAAAACTATGACAAATACTGTTGCTTGATTGTATACTTATGTATATATATATATATTTTGGAATGGGTGATAATATTCTGTAAGCGCAGTAGGTAACATGACAACGTACAAAAGTATCTCTATAATCTAAGAAATGTAAATATTGTAAATACTTGTTTGTATAGTTGAATGTAAAGTTTCTGCACAAATTAATCAAATCAATCAATCCCAATGGAAAACTTGCATCAATTGGATTTTTACTTATTAAATCGCATATACTGTAACCAGCTCTAAACATCTGCATTTGGACCAGTTCTCTCTGTCTGACCTCTGTATGTATGGAAACCCCAGACGACCACCGGACCCTGCACCCTCCTCCATATGCCCCTCTCTCTCCCCTGGTTTGGGTTTCACTCTGTGGGTGACCAGAGGCAGCTGCAGAGGGCCAGTGGATCTACCTGGGACCGTTCTGCTCTCTCCACACCTGACCACTTTGGGACCACTGCTTTCATTTTCCAACTCTACGGTAAGCGAAAAAGGACAAAAAGAGAATAACATATGAAAAACACATACATCAGAATAATCTTACTTGACAAAATGATTTGCATGTGAATAATTTGTTTTGTGAATCAGCGGAAAGGTAGAAGGAGCTGGCAACTGATTCACAATTTATATGGATGTTATTGAAAAGATACAATGTAATAACAGCCACAATCTTCCTTTTTAAAGCCTGGTTATGCAACTCTCAAACCGTCCAAATAGTGGTTTGGTTTGATACGATGGCCAGTTATTACATGGGTGTATTTTTGGCCTCTGTCATGTCTTTAGATCATCTTTTTCATCCAATCAACTCATTATCCAAAGTATTATATTTCATTTAGAAGGCTCTGTTTGTTAAAAGTTCCCATTGTTAATAATTTGATGGATTGGTTATACATTCTGCAGAAAAGAAAAACAAATACATTTATGTTGCATAAAGATCCTATCTCCTGTAGAACTATTCATAGTGGGAAAGGGAACCTAAAGCCCCGTTTCCACCAGCCCTATTGGCCCTACACTAATCTACTCTACTCTACTCTACTCTACCAGCAACTAAAAAGTACCTGGTACCGGTTAAACTGGGCTGAGTAGAGCTGAGTAAAGCAGGGCTTGTGGAAACAGGACATAAATTTGAGTTAAGTTGCTTTCCCCTGTCATGTACATACTCACATTTGTTGTTTGATCTCCTCCCTGGCTCTTGTGACCGCAGCTACGGATTCTACTTTACTTTTTCTTTCGAATCTGTGATACACTGACAATTCGGCAGCGTAGTCAGTTTTACTCAAAGTGGACAAAACAGCTGAACTTGTCCTGCGGTCTGAGCAGAGCCTGCAGGGCCTTTGGTATGGCCATGTTACTATGGTAATGGCATCTTCCATCAGTATTGAGATTTTAACTGCTTCTATAATCATTTTTACTGATTATGTAGTACTGAGAAGTCGCCATATGCTGCAGACAGAAGAACGTTACTTATTTATTATTATTATTTTATTTAACGACTCGTTTGGTCCTGATGCAGTCTCTGTTAACGCCTGTGAAAGTGTGAACATGGACGAAATTAGAATTTTATAGAGTGAAAGTGAAAATCCAAGCAGGGAACCTAACACGAAAGTTCTAGGATGACCTTTTGAAATCCAAACTAACATAATATTTGATGTGATGCAGATTTATGCAGTGTAACAGTAACTGAATGTGTGGTTTAGTCATTCACACGTGGTTAGGCTTAGGTGTGTGTCTTTGTGTGTGTGTGTGTGTGTGTGTGTCTTTCTGTTTCTCTCTGTCTGTCTGTCTCTATGTGTTCATGTGTGCGTGTGTGTGTGTGTTTACAAAAAACCTCAGTAATTTGCCTTATTCTTATGTAAGTAAGTAAGTAAGTAAGTTTTTATTTATATACCGCCTTTTCACTGCAGATCTGAGTCTCAAAGCGGTTTACAATTGTTAATTTTGGGCATTTGTCTCTCACTCCACACAGAGATGGGAGCGGGGTCGCCAGTACAGGAAGCGCATGCCAGAACTATTGGACATATTTTTAGTGGTAGGGGAAACCGGAGTACCCGGAGGAAACCTACGCAGACACGGGGAGAACATGCAAACTCCACTCAGAAAGGCCCTGGTCCGACCGGGATACGAACCCGGGACCTTCTTGCTGAGAGGCGAGAGTGCTATCCACTCAGCCACCGTGCCGCCCATGCTGTAAATCATTCCACTTGTGCAGTGTTTGGATCTAGTAAATAATAAAAAAATCTTGCATTTGAATTTCACACTGTCAATAAGGACAAAGGAAATGCTTGAACAATAATTAAAAAGTGGGTAAATTTAGCTTATGGAAAGAATTGACCAAAACAACAAATATGCCATTATTGTTGCGCGTTTCCATGGTACTGTATATTCTTTATTTAAATGTAGTAGATGTCCCTTGAAAAACACACATTACATGTTTCCAAATACCAATTTTAACCAATGTTTTCTTTCAAACCACAAAAAAATTGCTGTCCAAACTGTTTGGTTCAATCCCTGGTCTCCTTCCCTCCATCCAAATCAGCTTTTTCAGACAGAAAAGTGAAAAAGAGAGAGCATTTGGTCAAACAGGTCTCAACCCAAAGCATCAAATAATGACTCAAAGGGCTAAAAACACCAGCATTAAGGGTATTCCCACATTATTCATGAAAACAGAGTGACATATTTTCACTCTGTAGGACCTGTATATGTACATTTACATACTATAAATCTGGGGGTTGTCCTATGTTCTATATTCAAAGGACTTCCAAGTGGATTTCTCTCCAAGACTCTCTCCAGGTATTGAACTGGTATAAAATGACAGACTATTTATGTCCCTACATGCGTGACTCCCATGTAAAGAATTGCAGTAGGGATTTACAAGATGGCCACCGGCTTCTCGCCATGGCGTTGTCATTTCTTACCCTGATATACTCTGGCAGAATGGTGTTGGATTATAAGCATTTAGACATGTCAAGAGCCTTCCATGGACACACATCACAAATTGGCCTTGGTTCTAAATGTTGTAGTGTTTCTTCAGTAGAAAATATAAAAGAAACTAGTTCAAGAATTCTTTGTTGTTCAAGTAAGAAAATGATCAGCTGCAACTGCTGTGATTGCAAAGTACGTCATTTGCTCAATTCCTAAAAAACAATGTGAAATATTAAGCTACAATACTCATAGTGGCACGATGACATCATGCTGTTACAGGACTGAGACAGGAGCTTTTAGACAGGCTTTGCTACATGTTTGTGCCAGAAATTATATTAGCATGGATAGATTTAAAACAACTCCAAGTCTTATTGATGGAGGAACAATGTTGTAATAAAAAAGTAGATTTAGCAAATTATATAATTTTCTAAGAGGCAAAAAATTGTGCACAATAATTACCATGGCTCAAACCTTTCCACTAGATTCATAATCCGATTCAAATATTCTATTTGCCATTTGCAGTAAAACCATATCAACTGATAACAGCTTGTGGAAAGAAGCTGTTGGCATATCCAGATGTCCTGCATCTCAAAGAGCAAATCTTCTTCTACCAGAGAGAAGAAGCTGGAACATGGCTTTTCCAAGGGCCAGATGCGTCATTGATTATTGTAAAAGTCTGGATTCATAAAGAACCTCCAGAACAGACAGCTCACAGTTCACAGTACTCTTTCAGTGCAGAACACCTTTCAAAAGTGTTTCTTTTGGCCTCTGGTGTCTGTACCTTTGCCTCAGGCCTGTGGGTCTTTTGAGTCTCATGTCGGTGGGATGTGTTGGGGAATGTGCTGACTTATGGGCTCCTCCTCAGCTGTCCTCAGGAGATTTATCTGGTGCTAAAAGCGTCCCGAGTCCAGGGGCACAGCAGCGCCGCTTCAGTCACCGCAGGGAAACTGGAGAACCGGCCAACTGGGACGGCACCAAACCCCAAACTCTACATGTGGCTGTACGTTTGCTTAAAGCTGGGGTACCTGTGATACATGTTGGTCGTCTCCACAGAAAGAGTTGTAAAAGTGACATGAGTGAATAAACCAGACCAAAATAAAGTAGTCATGAAGCTTAAGTGTAAATTCAGACTGGAAGACCAAAAGAGGCACTGACTCCTCCCCCCTGCACTGGTCCCTCCCCCTCTGCACTGACTCTTCTCTCCACACACCTGCACCTGAGCTCAACATCAGCCTCAGGTGCAGAAACACACCTGTGCTCATCATCCCTTCATGGCTGCATTTAAACAGAGCCTCTCAGTTCTCTGCAGCTTCAAGTTGCTGTTCGAGGAGCCACCCACCTCCTCCCCATCTCCGCTTCTTTATTGAAATATTATGTTATGTCAGGGGGGTGGTCCTCTCTTGTTCACATTTCTGTCTGAAAAAGCAGATCTAAAGTTCTGACAGAGGCCAAAACTACACGCCGATGAGGTCCTGTTCTCATTTGAGAGCGAGAAGCCAGTGACATTTTATTACACAGTTGCTTTTTTGAGGTTTGAAAGCTACGTACCCCGGCTTTAAAGGACACAGAACATAACAGCATAATTTCCCAATAACATAACTGGAGTTCTTCTTGGCTCCATCCATGGAAGATTCACACAAAAATTTGGTGGAAGAAAAAAGATCCTTTAGTATTTTCAAAACGCTGCAGCTCAAGTCCTGACTAAAACCAGATCTCTGCACTGGCTTCCTGTGGCTAAGAGAATAGGCTCACTTTGAGAGGGATCTACTCCCACGGACAGACAGCTATAGATCCAGGACTCAGGCTCTAGAACGAGGACTGAGGCTGGAGACAGGACTGAGGAGGCTCCCGGGCGGGGAGGTGGAGACCAGTCCACAGGTGCAGATAAAAGACCATTCAGAGGTCCCATCATCACGTCGCTATGAAATAGACACGGGGACAGCGGGTGAATAGCAATGAACAGACCACAGCTCTCATAACAACGTCAGATAAAGTTTGAGGGAGGAAAGGATAGTGTTCAAGTTACCTTCACTTCTGATTGTATAAACATGTATCAAAAAGACAGAATTGATGTCTATTTACTTACGCACAATGCTTTATCTCCCATTGTACTTTTATAATGTTGTTTGACAAAGCACTCAGTAATTCCCCATGGCAACCCCTCACATATCTGACAAAGTGGGCTGAGAGAAAATAGCCATAACTGCGTATCCGTCAGTCTGACAAACACGCTCTTCGATAATGCATCCCCCGTCCAATTACTCATCTTCCAGTATCTAATCACGACGTACATCTCTTCCCAATCTGCTTTATTTTCTAATTAAATCCGTCTTAAAAGCATGTCCCTGTCCTTGGAGATGCTCTGATTCCCGGTGGCAGGTCCTCTCTCGTCCATACGCATGCCGGGTCTTCGTCTGAACGCAAGTTAAAAGCAATTATGTAAGTGAAAAGGTGCCTGGTCCCGGCGGATTTGGCTCCGTGGGGAGACAGTACATGTAATTGCCTTTTATTGGATGTAATTGAGTACATTCTCGCTGCCTCTCCGTCTCCCTGGCCTGGGTTATTTTTAAAAGCTTCTAGCTCTGAGTGGAGCTGTCACCAACGTATATATTTACAAATCAAACTGTGGGCGAAGACCGGTTACAAGATGATTCAGAGTATATGGTTTTGTATGCCATGTTTTTGCTGCTGCTTAATCAATCAATCAATCATATTTTATTCATAAAGAGTTTTTCATACAAACAAATGCAACACAAGTGGTTTGCATTATGGTTAAAAACATAATATACCCGCAGACCCGCCCCAAACTTAATTTCCCCATCATAAATTACTTCTATTACTATTACCGCTACTAGTAATTAAGTTATTATGGGAATTTTGACCCATTCTTCTAATGCCACCCGGGAAACGAGACTGCTATCTACTACTACTGCTACAACAACTTTTTTTCTAAAACATTATTTGGTTTTCTTCCTCCTCTGATTGGTTTCTGCACGTTTATTTGGCCAAAAGTTTGATCAATGCCCTGCACGTCCGTGGTTCTCAAGGCACCTGTCGCACTGGAGACCATAGACCGCACATGAGAACATTCACACCGACTTACGGCACCATTGACCTGTCGTTCCGCTGGCTCTGATGACAACTGGGCTCTACAGCACTGGGGATGACGTGCCGATGAATCACTCCCACCACTGAATAAAACAACGGTTGCCAGATTCATACCATGTCCTCTTTTTCATGTCCCTTTTAATGACATTGTCTTGTGTTTTGTGGTGCAGTGCTGTAACCATGCCTCTGCCAACCGCTCCGCCTCCAAACAAGAGGAAGAAGGCCGACAAGATCATCACCGACCTCACCAACATCAGCCAGAACGGTGAGAATCATTGACGTTTCACATTCTTTTGACCAATGAGGTGAGATTGGATCATTCCCAAAATCACACCGCACTATCGTCCCACGGTTGCGTTTAATGATTATGGAAGCCGTGTTTCCGGTCCGGGCAGCTGTGCAGGTGTAAATCCTGTTTCCTGATGAGCCAGGCATTAAACAGCCTCCACACAGCGGCAGTAACGGGACACCCCCAGGACACCCCCCCCCTCCCTCGACTGGGACTTGGACCGGCCTCCTCCTGTTGGCCGGGACATCCCCCAGCCTCCACAAATCTGTCAACATTACAAGTCCAGCAGATGCCACACGTAGAGATGGCACAGGGGGAATCAGGAAGTTACCACAAAGCTTAAAGCTGGGGTACCTAACTTTCACATTGCATAATCATTCTTATGAGTGGGCAGCTCTGAAACCAGTTGGTACTAGTTTGTACATGCATGTATTTTTGGGGGTTCTGTCTTAACAAGGACTAAACTAAAACAGGACTAAACCAGGACTAAACCAAGTCTAAACCAGGACTATACCATCAGGACTAAATGAGGACTGAACCAGAACTGAACCAGGATGGAATCAGGACTAAACAAGGACTGAACCAGTACTAGACCAAGACTAAAGCAGGACTAAACCAGGAGGGAACCAGGACTAAACAAGGACTGAACCAGTACTAGACCAAGACTAAAGCAGGACTAAACCAGGAGGGAACCAGGACTAAACAAGGACTGAACCAGTACTAGACCAAGACTAAAGCAGGACTAAACCAGGAGGGAACCAGGACTAAACAAGGACTGAACCAGTACTAGACCAAGACTAAAGCAGGACTAAACCAGGAGGGAACCAGGACTAAACAAGGACTGAACCAGTACTAGACCAAGACTAAACCAGGACGGAACCAGGTCCGAACCAGGACTAAACCAGGACTGAAACAGGACTAAACCAGGAATGAACCAAGACTGAACCAGGACTAAACCAGGACTGACATACAAAGCAAATCCATTCTAATTTCAAGATAGTAACCACAGAAAAAACAACTTTTTGACATATTTCCCAAACGTAGATATCTGGTTTTGTAAATAACTTCTTTCAAACAGCTTCGTCTGTCTGTGTCTCGCCCAAACTTTTCTGCATCCCTCCCAAAAGTCCCGGTTTTTCGGTCCCAAATGCTCTTGAGTCCATGCCTCTTAAACTGTTGCATCGAAGCCCTCTTTATTACCAACATTAATAATTCATGGGCTGTTTCCGTTTGTGCAGAGCTAGCATTGTCTTTACAGCGCTGCAGTTTTTGATTGCGTCTTTTGGCCTCTCTGCCAACGCTTTTTTAAATCCGGAAATAACTTCATAGATTGAACCTGAAGAAGGAAAATACCCAGTGTTTTAAATGTTTAGGTCCTGGGCCAAAATTATTCCGGTCCATCTGCCGGGAGCCGGGACACATGCGGCAGTTTTAAGTTTGTTTGGAAGGAAAGATAAGTTTTGATGGAACTCAGATGGAATTATGAGAAAAAAGTGCTTAGATAATTATACTATACAATCAGGACTGGACCAGGACTGAGCCAGGACTGAGCCAGGATTGAGCCAGGACTGAGCCAGGACTGAACCAGGACTGAGCCAGGACTGAGTCAGGACTGAACCGGGTCTAAACCAGGACTGAACCAGGATTAAACCAAGATTGAAGTAGGACTAAAACAGAACTGAAGCAGGACTGAACCAGGACTGAACCAGGTCCGAACCAGGACTGACTGCTGAACCAGGACTAAACCAGGACTAAACCAGGACTGAACCAGGACTGAACCAGGACAAAACCAGGACTGAACCAGGATTAAACCAAGATTGAAGTAGGACTAAAACAGAACTGAAGCAGGACTGAACCAGGACTGAACCAGGTCCAAACCAGAACTGACTGCTGAACCAGGACTAAACCAGGACTAAACCAGGACTAAACTAAAACAGGACTAAACCAGGACTGAACCAGGACTAAACCAAGTCTAAACCAGGACTATACCATCAGGACTAAACAAGGACTGAACCAGAACTGAACCAGGACTAAGCCAGGACTGAGTCAGGACTGAGCCAGGACTGAGTCAGGACTGAACCGGGTCTAAACCAGGACTGAACTAGGATTAAACCAAGATTGAAGTAGGACTAAAACAGAACTGAAGCAGGACTGAAACAGGACTGAACCAGGTCCGAACCAGGTCCGAACCAGGACTGACTGCTGAACCAGGACTAAACCAGGACTAAACCAGGACTGAATCAGGACTGAACCAGGACTGAACCAGGACTAAACCAGGACTGAACCAGGACAGAACCAGGACTGAACCAGGACTGAACCAGGACTAAACCAGGACTGAACCAGGACAGAACCAGGACTGAACCAGGACTGAACCAGGACTGAACCAGGACTGCACTAGGACTAAACGAGGACTGAACCAGGACTGAACCAGGACAGAACCAGGACTGAACCAGGACAGAACCAGGACTGAACCAGGACTGAACCAGGACTGAACCAGGACTGAACCAGGACTGAACCAGGACTGAACCAAGACTAAACCAGGACTGAACCAGGACTGAACCAGGACTACTGCACGCTCACATATAGAGAGAGATATTCTTCTTCATAGGGCAGCATTCATTTAAACTTCTGGACATTCTACTTTTGGATGTAACTTGTCTGGCGTCTGATTCGAAGTCTATACATGACTTCAGATAAAATGCAAAAATCCTCATTCCCTTGTTTATTTTTTTTTCTTCTTTTGTGAATATTTATGTGAATTTCTGTGTAGAGCTTTTACACTGGTACCTGATCTCCGGTTTCACATCTCTCTATAGTTTACGAGCTGACACTCTGCAGCCTTGACACACCTCCTCATCCTCCTCCTCCTCCTCCTCTGTCCCACTGGCCTCAGGTCATTGGGACAGAATCATTCTACTGACATAGGATAGAGGATATTTATTTATTTACAATCCAGGTTTTGCTAATTTGGTTTTACCCCAAAGTTTCACACTGCACATAATTTCCGTAAATCCTTTAAATTTAAACTCAAAAGACAAAAATGCAATTCTAGTTATTGGTTAGCAACTGCAAAACTAAGCAGAAAAGACACAAAAATCGTGAATTTGAAGATTCGTTTTTAATTTTACAACAACACTGGGTTAATAATTGCCCTTCTGAAAGCTTCTCAAAGTTTGAGTATCTCAAATTTTTATGTCATAAAGCGTTCAGTTTGTTTGTCCCAATAACTGCTTTCTTTTGCGTACCGGTGAGTCCCTGTTAAACGCTGGGCTGAGAGCTTATATTATTATTAAGACCTCCCTCATGCATTTTGTAATTATTGCATATTATCTGTAGATTCAACCAAGACAATGAATGAACAAGGCAAAGAGACGACAAGAGATGGAGAAAAACACACTACTTTTTCGCTTGTAGACCTGCTCAAAAGTGAATCCAAAAGAAATGGTCATAGAAAATAGATCATTCTTCACAGATCAAGACCCTCTGTCTACATTTCTGACTTCAACCTCCAAAACGCACAGAAATTGTTCACTTCTCTCAGCCACAGCAATTCAGCCAAAACAGCAGTAGCAGAATAGTAGCAGTAGTAGCAGCAGTGGTAGTAGTCGTAACAGTAGCTGTAGCAGTAGTAGTAGTAGTAGTAGTAGCAGCAGCAGCAGTAGCAGTAGTAGTAGTAGCAGCAGTAGCAGCAGTAGTAGCAGTAGTGGCAGCAGCAGGAGCAACAGTAGTAGTAGCAGTAGCAGCAGCAGAAGCCTGAATTAACACTCTAATCAATATCCCCCTCAGCGCCGTGATTTACGAGTTTCCCTGAACTGCTCTGCTCTGGGTTATGGTTATACGCCTCTGTGTGTGTGTGTCTGTGTGTGTGTGTGTGTGTGTTTATGGCCCGGCTCCAGGTATTATGAGTGATACTTCGGGCGCAAGCAAAGCCGGGGAGAAGCCTGCTTTACGGCACGCAGTCTCAGAGGAGCAGTAAAACCTGTCGAATCTCTCCATCACCAAGGAGGAGAGGAGACGAGAGAGGGAGTGGAGGAGAGATGAGAGGAAGAGGAGGGGAGGAGAGGGGCGGAGAGAGAAGAGGTGGAGGAGAGGAGAGAAGCATATCTAGAGTGAGGAAAGCCCTATAGCTCTCCTCACCTTCTCTTCTCCTCCCCTCATTTTCTCCTCTCCTCCTCCTCTCCTCTCCTACTGGGTCTTTAGAGTTGTTCTTTGCCGATGCAGGAGGGTCTAAGGACAGTACCATCCAGGACATTAGACATTTACGGACATTGGTCATAAATGTGAATACATGTGTGTTTTTTTCTATCCTTGCATTTCCTGTGTGGGAACTGTTTGATTCTCTGATCTGTTGTTGGCGAATCGAGAGCTTTGTAAAGTCCTCCGAGATTACTACTGCTGTGATTTAGGGCAGGAACAAACAAAAGCTGAATTGAATTGAATTGTGTGGGTCATATCAGCTTCTTCTTCTGCAGTAAGCAAACACTACGCTAACAAATGCACACAGAGCACAGCTTGTATGATCGGTTCCTCTCTCCCCGCCTCTCTCCCCCCTGCCTCCCCCCTCCTCCAGACGATGATGCTGACGCGGACGCTTCGGAGCTGGACCTGGGAACCAAGATCAAAACGCCCAAAGACGTGATGCTGGAGGAGCTGTCTCTGATGAAGAACAAAGGCTCCAAGATGTTCCAGATGAGACAGCAGCGCGTGGAGAGGTTCATCGTCACCAACAAAAACATGGTCAGAAACTATCAACAAACTTACAAATGGACAGAGGTGTGGGGGGAAGAAGAAGGGGTAAAGCCGGGGTATGTAACTTTTGATCAGACTTTAGCTTAGCCCCTAACTAACAGCTAATAAAGTGCTAATTAGTGCGTGATGTATCTGATTGGCTGAGGGAGGGTGGTCTTGGGATAGAGGCCAACCCAGTATGGCCCTGATCAACTAAGAAAGTTTTGAATTAAAAAAATATACATTTTAATTTTATACATGAACGTTTGTTACAGTCTTAAAATGTAGCACTTTAAAAATCATTCAAAAAAAAAAAAATCATTCAAAAAAAAATTATATATACAAAAAAAATCTTACTGGTTAAAAGTAAAAAAAAAAAAAACATTATACATTTGTGTTTCTTTGCTGTTTTAATCCCAGAACAACCTGGAGAACCTGCTGATCCTCCCCCCGCTGCCTCCTCCCAAACCCGAGGTGGTCAAAAATGAAGGTGAGCAGGATGTACATACAGTAATATAGAACTTTATTTATACTTTTACAGCAGTAGTTTATCACCACTGTGTGTATGGAGTGAAGGAAGGTCCTGGGTTGCATGTTCTCCCCGTACAGATATATTTTACGGATCTCACAATGGAGAAATTCAAGTTCTCCTTTTGACAGTTATTCAACAGCAAAGAACAAAACATATATTTATTTCACACAGACGTTGTTTTGGAGAGACAAGTAACATGCGGAAAACACGGATCTCTTTGATTGGACATTACTCTGACCAGCCCCGCCCAATGTGGACTGTCAGGGGGGAGTAATGGGTGAGGGTGGCAGGGGGGCAGGGGGGGTGGGGGGTAGACCATAGGCTGAAAGAGAGAGAGGCAGACAATTTAGGAGGGAAGGGTGTACATGTAGCCTCTGCGTAGGTTTCCTCCAGGTGCTACGGTTTCCCCTACCACTAATAACATGTACATATGGGTTTGAATGTACTGAGATGGTGATGGTCGGACGCACACATACACACAGACACATATACATACACACACATGCACACACACGCGTACAAACACACACACATGCACACACACACATACACACCCAAGGCACAAATATCAATTATCAATTAGTTTGTGTAAGCCCTCAGTCGTACAGGGATTAGTCAAAGCAAAGGAAGGTTTCTCACCCATCATCTGTACTTCTTAGCAAGTTTTCCCGACGTTTCGTCCTCAACCTGGGGACTTCTTCAGGGAATGAATTCTCGGACCGCGCGTTGGAGATTTATAACCTATGGGTGTGGTAAGCCACACCCTAATCCTGATACTAACTCGTAACCAATCTACGGTCTGCTTGATGTAGAAGGGAGCAGGTCTAACGACCCTGCTGAGGCTAACGACCCTAACTCCTTAGCATGTCACAGACCTATTGTCTGCTGGGATGCTCAAGTGGAGTGCAGGTTTCACCCCTCCTAACTCATTAGCATGTCACTGACCTTGTCCCAAGTTAGGGCGTTGTTTTTAGGATGTCGTCATAGATGCGAGGCAAAACAAATCTTAACCCTCCTCCTCTGTTAAGAGAAGGTTTTTGTTTCCTCACAAAAATGGCTTCTTTCACCCCTCTCTCAAACCAATTCTTCTCCCGAGCCAGAATTTTAACCTCTGTGTCATCCACCGTGTGGTTGGAGGCCTTGAGGTGGAGATGAACAGCCGACTGTGGCCCACTAGAGTTTTCTCTACGATGTTGGTAAAGTCGTTTCTGTAGAGTTTGTTTGGTTTCTCCAATATAGTGGTCAGTGCACTCCTCTTCACTACATTTAATTGAATACACCACATTGCTCTGTTTGTGTCTGGGTGTTTTGTCTTTGGGATGCACTAATTTCTGTCTTAACGTGTTGAAAAGTTTGAAATACACAGGGATTTTGTGTTGCCTAAAGATTCTTTGTAGTTTCTCTGAAACTCCCGCCACATACGGTAAGGACACCCCTCTCCTCCTACTTTCTTCTGTCTGTAGGATTGTGTCTCTGGCCTTTCTCGTCCTTTGGGCTTTAGTAAAAGACCACTTGGGGTAGCCACATCTGGAAAGTGCTCTCTGAACATGTTTGGTTTCTCTGTTCTTTCCCTCTGAGCTAGTGGGGACCTGGTGGGCTCGGTGTTGAAGCGTTCTAATGACCCCGAGTTTGTGTTGTAGCGGATGATTTGAATCAAAGGCCAAGTACTGGTCAGTGTGAGTGGACTTTCTGAAGACCTCAGTCTCTAATTGTCCGTTCTCCAGTATGATGACCTTACAATCTAGAAAGGCGAGTTCACTCTCCTTAGCATCCTCGCGAGTGAAATTTATAAAAGGGTCCACCGAGTTAATGTGTGCTGAAAATGGTTCCACTTCCTGTTTCTTTAACTTAACCCATGTATCGTCTACATATCGAAACCAATGGCTTGGCGCTGTCCCTTGGTAAGAGCCCAGGGCTTGTTCCTCCAGTTTCTCCATATACAGATTGGCCACTATAGGAGAGACTGGGGAGCCCATCGCACAGCCATGAATCTGTCTAAAGAAGGTGCCTCTGAATTGGAAATACGTGGTGTTAAGACACATTTCAAGTATTTCACAGATGTGGTCAGCTGTTAGTTTCGTTCTCTCCCCTAGTGTGGCGTCTTTCTGTAGGCTTTCTCTTACAGCCTCCACCGCCTCTGTAATAGGGACCGACGTAAAAAGCGATGTCACATCAAACGAGACCATTGTCTCATCTGTGTCAAACTGGAGGTGTTTGATTTTATTTACAAATTCTTTTGTGTTTTCTATGTGATGGTGGGTGTTACCCACCAAAGGAGCCAGAATGGTTTTGAGGTGTTTAGCCAGGTTGTAGGTGATAGAGTCTATGCTACATACAATAGGCCGAAGTGGAAAGTTTTGTTTGTGTATTTTTGGGAGGCCATAAATACTGGGGATGGTGTCCCCTGGGTAAAGTTTGTAATATAGTGGTTTTTCAATAATGCCCTCTTTCATTAAGTTCTGAAGGAAGTCTATAATCTTTTTCCTAAACCCACTGGTATTATCAATTATCAATGCGTCACAAGTTTTGTAAATATCAGATCTGCACATAAACTTGTCACTTCTTTGCTTGATGCTTATCATTAAAATTAATTAAACTAAAAATAATAAACAATAATAATTAAAGGAAAGGACAGACTTGTGCCTCTGCCAAGATCCTCTCCTCCGTCCTCTTGCAGACAAACCTGAAGTGAACGAGGCCGAGGAGAAGGAGCGTAGGAGGAAGCAGTATGTGCGCACCTACGTGTCGCCATGGGAACGGGCCATGAGGGGCGACGAGATCCTGGTGGCCACCATGAAGGGCCAGATGCCGGGGCCCATCCAGATGCACCTGGAGCTGCCCCAGTACAAGAGCTTCAACAGGTGAAGGACCAGGGCAAGGAGGGGAAGTTAAAGCTGGGGTACCTAACTTTTTTTATTTATTTTTTGTTTTATTTATGGTAGTTATCTCACCATTTGTAAATAGATCCCTTGTGCCCACCATGATTGTAAAAGAGAGTTAAATTCCACACAGAAAGACCTGGAGGTGGAATCAAACCCAGGACCTTCTTGCTGTGAAGGACAAACAACAAGATATAAAAGTTTGGTACCCCAGCTTTAATTGGACAAAGGAGCAGTTATAATTCAGATTTAATATCACTCATTTCCTGTGATTGAACTGTCTGATTTTCTGATTTGTTGTTGAGGAATCGACAACTGTGTAAAGTCCCTTAGAGACGACGCTGTTGTGATTTAGGGCTAAACAAAATACCGTGACTTGAAATGGACTTAGTTGTGACGATAATGACTCAGAGATGGACCCGTTTCCCTCTCACTGTAAAGTTCTGCTCAAATATTTCTATTAATAAACCGTTCTCCGTAATACCTGCTCACTATGACAACGGCAGCCACTAACCGCCGCCTCTCTCTCTCTCTCTCTCTCTCTCTCTCTCACACTTTTCCTCCCCCCTTTTGCCTTTCCCTCTGTCTCTGTCTCTATCTCTGCCCCTGAATGGGCCTCTCACTTTGTCTCTCCCCTCTGTCTCTTTCTCTCCCTCTGTCTCTGTCTCTCCCCCTGTCTCTCCCCCTGTCTCTATCTCTGTCTCTGTCTTTCCCCTCTGTCTCTATCTCTCCCTCTGCCTCTTTCTCTCCCTCTATTTCTGTCTCTCTCTTTCTCCCTCCGCCTCTCCCTTTGCCTCCCTCTCTCTCTCTGTCTCTCCCCCCGTCTCTCCCGCTGCCTCTTTCTCTCCCTCTGTCTCTATCTCTCCCTCTACTTCTGTCTCTCTCTTTCTCCCTCCACCTCTCCCTCTGCCTCTCCCTCTGCCCCCTGACTCCCTCCTTTTGACTCGCCCTCTGCCTCTCCCTTTGCCTCCCTCTCTCCCTCTGCCCACCCTCTCTCTCTCCGTCTCCCCCCGCCCTCCCCCTCTGGAGAGACCTCTCACAAATGTCATTAAAATAATCCAGTTTAAAGCCTGCGTATTGAGAGCAGCTGTGCAATGACTAATGCGTCTGAATCAGCAAAATGAACTGAAGAAATGCCCCGAAATTAATTTAACAAACACGAGTCGACGCGTCAGGAGAGATCTGGGTCTGGGGAATGAGATTATGGCTGCGCAGCTTTCAAGGAATCAACTCCAAACAAAGAGATGGGTTTGGACTTTTTTTTTGGCCAAATAAAAGGTGTAGATTGTTTAAAGGTGGGAGCAGAATTTTGATTCACACTGGAGATGTTTTGAGAGCTCGACTGACCGACATAACCTTGAAACAAGACTCAAAGTGTGATCTAAATGAAAAAGAATAAAGTTTATACGTAAGAATTGGTGATGGACGGTTCTGTACCAATGACCAATCTCCACATGTAGAGCGAGATCGAACACAAGGAGATGATTGAAGAAGACCAGAGCTGCTTTTGATTAAGCACTAAGTCACAGCAGTAGTCGTCTCTGGGGACTTTACAAAGTTGTCGATGCACCAACAACAGATCAGAGAATCAAACTCAAATTCAATATTAACAAACACATAAGTCATTGGTTTATAGGGAGCAGGACGTCCACTGTCCAGAAATGTGAATAAATGTCCTTCAGTGTTCTCTGTCATCACTGTCCTTAGATCCTGCATCTTCAATAAACGACATTCATGCATTCTCATGACACACAATTAAAGCTGGGGCACCTAGCTAAAAATCCATGCTGTTCTCAAAAACTGTTGTTTTCAATTGATCTGTATTGGTCATAGCACCAAAGTATTAGGACGAACTCGGTCAAAATGATCCACCACCAATGATTCACACGCACTCATCAGACTCTTTCTAGGCAATGTGTGTGAAGTGTCCAAACTATTTAGGTATAAGTTTGGCTTTGGCGGCACGCCTGCTCAGTGTCTAGTGCTTGTGCTTCACAACAAGAAAAGCCCCGACCCGTCTCTCAGGGGCCAAGACATTCTGAAGTCTCAGTTGGACTTTCTTACATCGCTCACCAATGCAAATATTGCCAATGAGACAGTGTCATTTTTACAACACTGTTCCTTCAACCAAACCCTCCTTTGTTCCAGGACGGCGCTGCCTTTCGGGGGTGTGGAGAAGGCCCCTAAGACGCTGATGTTTGAGTTGCCTGAAGCCATGGCGACCCCAGAGGAGGCAGACCCTCTGTCCAGCCTCCATCCAGACATCCGCTCCAGGCCGTCCTTCAACCGCACCCCCATCGGCTGGGTGTGCGAGGACGGGCCCCACCTGCCCCTGGAGCTGGAGAACATGCCCTTCGATGGAGAAACCGAGGATCTCTGAACCAGGAAGTGAATGTGGAGGCAGCTGTAGGGTGGGGGCTACTGAGGGAATCAAACTTGCACTCAATGATAGATAGGCCAAGGTTTCTCACATAAGGTTTTAAGCCAGACCAGCATTTTCCATAATGCAACATTGGTAGAAGACTGCTAGAATTCTGAACCTACTAGAAGTCTTTTTGACGGCTCCCATTCAAACCAATAGAATTCTGAAAAAAATAAAACATAAGAATTGAGAACTTTTATTTGTTCTACAGTGTTTAAGTCCAGTCTGGTGTTGTTTGAAAACGGGTGCGGCCCCTCTGGCTTAGAGGGTAGTTTTAAAAAGGCGAGTCCTGGTACTTTAAACTCTTTTAAAAAGAGTTTAAAGTCCTGGTTTATTCCCAAATGCTTAGAAGATAGACTTCCAACTATGTCAGCGGAGACACGTGATGGTGCGACGCTTTTCTCATATCTAACATAAATATAAAAGATGGATACGAGACACCAGGAACCATCAACAGAGACCAGGGGGACTTCCTTCACCAGTTTGATGGATCTTCCCAACCTGTGTAATCGGCCACATCCACAAACAGCAGCTGAGACAAAACTTCCTATTGTCTTATTCAATCTTCTAAGCCTTATGCAACACTATTCTCTTTCTGCGTTCTGATTGGTCAAAGGGAAAATCCATTGTCAATTCTAATTTGAGTCATTTCACTAAAAGAAAATGAGAGATTTTTACATTATATTGATATCTCAGGACTATGGCCCACCTCTACGCAACGATGGAAGTGACAGTAAGTTGAAAGTGAAAGTGGTGGACGGTGTGATGCTAAATGGATAGACAGGAACATGGACACACTACACAAGTCTATGCTATACTATTATTATTATTATTATTTATAAAACCTCAGCTCTGAAGATAAGTCTTACACAGTTTGGAGCCTCTGTGAGAATGCACTCGGCTCTCGTTACGTAATATTGCAATAAAGTTCTCCTTTTCACATCACGGTCTCTACTTTACATTCATTTCAACCAATGTGTCTCCAACCTGTGGCTCGGGAGCTACCAGTGGCTCACCAGCCCCTGTCAGGTAGCTCCCCAAACATTTAGAATTGAATTACTGGAAGTATTATGGTGTGTTTTATATGTGTGCTCCATGTTTTGTTTTATCGCTTACGTTTATTGTATGAATTATTTTTATTACGATTGCATAAAACAGTAGCTCTCTGCCTCTTCTGTTGTGTAAAAGTAGCTCTCCGATTGAAAATGTTGGAGACCCCTTATTTAAACTAATGCATGTATCAACAACAAAACAGGGGAGACATAAAAGGTGTTCACAAAAAAAGCAATAGAAAAATGAACTTAAAACACTTATGGTTTAAATCACAACAGAGTGTGTGTGTGTGTATGTACGTATGTATGTGTGTGTTTGCATGTGTGTGTATGTATGTGTGTGTGGTGTATCTTTATGTGTTTGTTTGTGTATGTCTCTGTATGTTTGTGTATGTATCTGTATGTGTTTGTGTGTTTGTCTGTATGTGTTTATAGATGCGTGTCTGTTTGTGTATATGTATGCGTGTTTGTGTGTATGTACTGTATGTGTGTGTGTGTGTGTGTGTGTGTGTGTGTGTGAGTATGAGTATGCATATGCACGTCGGGTATGCATATGAACGTCGGGAAAACCTGCTAAGAAGTACAGATGATTGGTGAGAAACCTTCCTTTGCTATGCATATGCATGTGTTTGTTTGTGTGTGTGTGTTTGTGTATGTATATGTATGTATCTGTTTGCCTGTATGTCTTTGCATGTGTGTTTGTGTATATGCGCGTGTGTGTGTGTTTTATCCTTATACACAGTCCTCATTGTGTGTTCCAGTCTCATTAAGAGTTAGCGTGTAATTGTTTGGAGGAAGAGCCTGAGCTCAGTGAGTTTTGGCTTCGTTCCCAGCGACAAACAGGACGCATTGACTTCACACAAAGAGACTAAACATATAAGAAACTGGAGCATAAATAAATCCAACCGTTTCTATAATAAGCAGCGTCTGACTCATTATTTATCTCCAAACTTTAACATTTTTCACTTACTTTGAAACACTTTTAAACAGGCATTCACCTCCCCACTGTTTATAATGACTGTGAACAAAACAAAACAAAAGTATGATTCCCAAAACGCCATGACCTTTTCAACTCAGACTTTAATACTGAACAAATTTAAGTAATTAGCCTTGCTTCTAAGTTAATTAATGCTTGTTTGAAGTGGTTAGCCTTGCTCCAAACTTCATCAATTTAGATTTATAAGGGATTATCCTACACTTCGAAGTTCATTAACGCATGCTTAGAGGGGTTAGGCAAGCTTCTAAGTTATAGGTTTTCAAGTGGTCAGCCATGCTTCTAATTTCTGTGTTTACAACATATCTCTTCGAACGCAGAAATTGAACGGTCCCAAGAGCTTTCTCGTCTTTACGACCTGAAGAACGTGTCCTCGCCGCAATCTCTTCCAAATCTTCAGTCCTCGAGCTCTGCATAAATGTGTGTGTCTTTGATGGAGAGGTGATGAGGGTCGGTCATGTGACATCAGTCGGACCAAGAAATAACCACCAGAGTCTAGGTGCATTTTAAGGGCTAGGGTGAGAATTGGGACGGGGCTTTGGCTTCATACAGAGTTCAATTATAGTTCACTGACAGGGACTGGCCTGCTGCTGGGACTCTGAGGAGCACAGGGACTGGCCGCCTGCTGGGACACTGAGGAGCACAGGGACTGGCCTGCTGCTGGGACTCTGAGGAGCACAGGGACTGGCCGCCTGCTGGGACTCTGAGGAGCACAGGGACTGGCCTCCTGCTGGGACTCTGAGGAGCACGGGGACTGGCCTTCTGCTGGTTCTATTGTAAATTGTGTATATTGACTTTTATTTTTTATCTCAAATGTCATTTTAAAGCTAATTTGAAACACAAGTTAGATGTATTATCTTGTCTACAGGGCCTTTCAAAAGAACCACAAAATAAGTATCTTTAGTTGTCTGCCCCGGACCAGTCTGCTGAACTTGTGGCCCTCTTACAAAAAAGTTTGGACACCCCTGCAAGAGGCACGTGTGATCATATCAACCACTCCCAACAACCAGCTTATTAACAGACTAATTTTTGCTCCATCTGTGATCACCCTCAGCCGAACCAAGCAGCTATCTACGAGCAGTGATGATGACTTTTCTCATGCGGTGACATCATCCTGCAGTTGCCTCTCTGGTCCAGCAGGCGTCGCCACTGTGCCAAGACTCGCTGCCTCCTCACATGTCGCTCACTCCTCCACAGACCAGACACGTCACGGCGACTCTCACGCTGCCCCTCTGCTGCGTGCGGCGCTGGCTGACGAACAGGGACAGGGACTGGGACCAGGACAGGGACCAGGACAGGGACCAGGACAACCATGGGACATCTCACCACCACCACCACCACCACCGCCGCCCAGGACATCGCACTAACCCCGGCCATGGATCCGCCTGTGCCCTGGGAGAAGAACCACGCGTAGACACAAACGGTGAGTCGCCAATTTATAAATAAAAATGGACACGTTGTATGTGTGTGTGTGTGCGTGCGTGTGTGCGTGTGTCTGTGTGTATGTGTTTCTCTCTCTCTCTGTGTGTGTAAACATGTCTACGAATGCGATAGTTTTGCTGTTTTTTATTTATTTACTGGGGGTTCTTTGGATGATCCTCCGCGATCAGGTGTCGCGCTCTGGCCGAGGATGGAGCGCTGTTTTTGGGGTCTTTGGTTTCCCGATCTCCGCTTGTCACGTTTCACCGGTGACACAGCGACCAGCCCTCTCCACGTGAACATTTTCTTTTTCTCTTTTTCCCACACTCCACACACACAAAACACAAAACACAATCAGAGACAGTGTTTCCTGCTCGTTTTGAAAATATATCTGTCAGTCTAGGAAGGCTCCGAATCAAAGTAAATCTGTGACATGTTAGTGCCATATGAACTACGCAGGGACTGGCCTCCTGCTGGGACTCTGAAGAGCATAGGGACTGGCCTCTTGTTGGGACTCTGAGGAGCATAGGGACTGGCCTCCTGCTGGGACTCAGAGGAGCACAGGGACTGGCCTCCTGCTGGGACTCTGAGGAGCACAGGGACTGGCCTCTTGCTGGAACTCTGAGGAGCACAGGGACTGGCCTCTTGCTGGAACTCTGAGGAGCACAGGGACTGGCCTCTTGCTGGAACTCTGAGGACCACAGGGACCGGCCTCTTGCTGGTGCCCAGGGTCATGAGAAGTCAGCATCTCAGATTGTTGCATGGGTCTAACATAATAACAGCTCAAATCTGGAACAGTCTTACTGAAAATGTGAGACAGGCTTCTTCTCTGAAAATGATCAAATCCAGGTTAAAAACTGTTCTGTTTAGCTGTACATACAACTACACTATTTATGATTTTAATGCCGTGTGATTGTTTCTATCTGCTTTTGTTTAGCACTTTGAGTTGCCTTGTTTACGAACTGTACAAATACATTGACCTTCCCATGCTTTGCTGCATAATGTGTGTATACAGTATGTGCATCATTTAATTTTAATTGCATTTATAGATGTAGACATTCATTGATTTTCTGATTTTCTGATCATAGAATGTCTGTACAGTGGTGTATAGAGAGTTTGCTTTCAAAAAGGTACTCTTACCATTAGGGGTGTGACGATATATCAATTTTTCGATACGTCGCGATACTTTCTCCCGCGATTCGATTATCGATATGCATTTGCCAAGTGTCAATATCGATTTTGAAAAAAAATATATATTGGTATCAATACTTAATATATGGCTATATTACGCATCTCCATTCTATTTATCATGAAATAAAGAGTATTTTTTCTTGTATTTTTGCCATAAATTGGCATATTGTATATTTCTGACCAATATATCAATAATCGTCATATCGTGATTAAATCGTTATCGTGATATCGTTATCGTGATATCTGTGAGATTTCATAACACTTTGAAGCAACTTTTGTTAAAGTTAAACTCATCATTCTATCAATGTGCAGAAGCCTGTACTTTTCCCTTGTTTTGTCTATCTGAAGGCCAAGCTACATGGCACCGTGGCAGCTGCTGATTGGAGGTCTCCATGCCTCCGCTCTGTATAATACACTTGCATTCTGTTGTTCGTGTTGATCGTGCTGTCTCTACCATTGACAATAAAACATGTCTTCTGTCTGAATTAAAGACGCGATCCCAGATATGTCATCTTCTTCAGGCTCACATATCGTTATTGTGATATTATCGTTATCGTGAGCTTTGTATCGTGTATCGTATCGTATCGTGAGGTACCCTTAGGTTCCCACCCCTACTTACCATAGATTAATGAGTGAAATCCTTTTAGTCAGAGGGCCACTTCACTTCACCAGACTTTCTCAGGGTTTTCATGAGCTTTTAATTTGGTCTGTCCACATGGATTCATATTTGTCATTGCTGAAGTTGGCTGAATGTATATATATGACATGAGCGTCATGCATGCATTTTTGTGCCTTGATCACACATACAAGTTTATATAACAAAGTCACAAAGTCAATGATAGATAAAAGTTGTTGTTAGCCCTGCTTCTAAATCCATTATTATAGATTTAATGTGGTTAATATTTATATAACATACATAATACTGTAACAATACAGGTTCAAAGTGGTTTTCCTGTTTCTAAGTTAATTCATTGATGCCTAATGGGGCTAGCCATGCTTCTAAGTTACACAAGAGGTACCTAGCTTTTCAAATGTATGTATTGGTAGAAATTAAGTTGGCTGGATGACACAGAATGTATGTTTATGATTGCAATGGCTAATTTCGGGTGAGCAAAGCAGAGGAGGGACCATAAAAAATGACTTACTCATATAGTTTTAATGGTTTTTATTGCTGTTTGGTGCCAGTTTAGTCGCAAATACTGGTGAAATTGTGATGTTTTTCCGCCATAACATTTGTTGCTCTGATTGCGCTACATTCTCTGCTGTCCTACTTTGTGTTTTTTTGCTAGTTCTTGCCCTCAGCCATGACCTGTTTGCATCACTTTGCTCTTATGGTTACTCTCTTGTTTTGGGGATGGGCTCAGTTACACACTCATTCTCACAAGGCAGGATGGAGTGTCTTGCCCAGGGACACAACGGCAATACGCACATCCGATAGGGGGATAGAGTCCAGTCTCTTATGTCTGTTGGCTGTTACAAGAGTGAACTCAATGTGGGTTTGAATGGAAAGTGTTTAAAAGAGTTTGTTGTTTTTATTAATAATACATTATACTTATATTGCACCTTACATTTCCACCTGGCCTCCCTCTCAGGTCTCCCTCTTGTCTCTCTCTCTGGTTTCTTTCTTTGGTTTATCTCTCTGGTCCCTCTGTCTGATCTCTAGTCTCTCTCTGGTCTCTAGTCTCTCTCTCTGGCCTTTCTCTCTCTTTCTCTAGACTCTCTCTCTCTGAAAACATACACAATACATAATTTCACCTGTTGAATAAAAAGCCGTTAAATTGACTGCTCTTCCCATCATGACATGAAGTGGAGCAATAGAAAACCTCCATCTCTTTGGAGCGGCGGCCGGCGACTCCTCCGCAGCAAGAGAAAACCAGTTTACCACGGTCAGAAAGGGGTGAAAAGTGGATTTAGCAGCACGTTACATGGAAATCTCTTGATATTTATTCCCTGCACATTGTAAAAGGCAATGTACCCAAACAGCCTATAGGCCTTTGTGCCACAGATTAACTCATGCGTGGTTCACACATTTACCTCGGGGCATTTGCGAATAAAATTAGTATAATGCTCTCACAAACCCGCACAGACGACCTATTGTGTGTTTGCTCGTTGTAAACAGAAATATTGATCTAAAAACAGCTTTTTAATGGACGCAGGTCCATTAAGCTCCTGTTCAAAGCTTGTGAATGTGTGTGCGACACTTTTAACAATGATAGTTCTCCTTTAATAGGTTTTTATTGGTTTTAAAGATGGGAAAAGGCTCTGTGACATTTTTGAATCTTGGTCTGAATCCGGATCTTAATCTTTGTCTGAATCTTGGTCTGAATCTTGGTCTGAATCTTGGTCCGAATCTTGGTCCGAATCTTGTTCCGAATCCTGGTCCGAATCCTGGTCCGAATCTTGGTCTGAATCTTGGTCTGCATCTTCGTATTGTTCCAGCCAGCAACAATTTCGCGATTTACGGCCACAGCCGCCCCAGGGGTCTCCCATCACAGCACTAACCAGGTCCTCCCCTGCTTAGCTTCAGAGGTTTGACAGCCTCTGGCTTTTGCATTCAGGTGGCGCCACAAACTTTACTTTGATCAATTCGTCTAGTTTTCCCCCTGAAAAAAGAGAACCCAGAGAGCTGAAGACCCTCACTCTCTGTTCTTGGATCAGTTTTTACTCTAAAAACCGTGTGAGCAACAAAAGTACACTCTACTGTAGATGAAAACACACTGTCCCATCCAAATAAACAAATAAATAATTGCAATACATACTTTGTCGTGAAGAGTCTATTGATGGAGGGGTGGTGCAATGCAAAAAGTGATGAAAAAGTAAAAAAATTGCTCAAATTTGACAAAATGTATCTTAATTTAAGCACATTCTGTTTGCCTTAAAAAAAGATTTGAAAATGACACAATGAGCAAAATGATATTGCTTTTAAAAAATACAAGAAATGTCTCCCATCGAATGAGAAAATAAAGAAACAGTTCTTGAAAAAAAGACTAAACGGCTTTGTCAGAATGTGTTCAAATTAAGATAAAAGCACTCGATTCAAGCTATTGATCTATTATCTCATATTTTATAATTTTTTGCAGTGTGGTCCTCTCTTTTTTCACTTTTCTGTCTGAAAAAGCTGATCTAATGATGAAATACATGAAAACAAGAGTTGGAACCAAACAGTTTTGAGAGTAAGGAACTAGTTACACACAGTTTATAGATAGATAAATAGTTCAATTGATACTTTATTAATCCCCGTGGGAGAAATTCAGTTGTCCAGCAGCAGAAACAAATCCATCCATACAAACAAATAAATACATAATTCCAACAGTTACTAACAATAATTACTACAGTAGAGAAAGAAATCCTTATGGGAAAACGGAAAACAGAAAACGTTCTTGGGAAAACGGCTCTCGCAGTTAGTCTCTTGGTTTGATTATAATAAACGACACACTGCCCTTAAGATACAAGGCTATTTCTGTGCCGTTTTGTCCCGTGTTTTGAGCGAAGCAGGTGTGAACCAAAGCAGGACTTCTCACACCTCGCCCTGACGGCAGCACGGAGCCTCATTAACGGTGAGACGAGACGAGAAGCAAATCTGTTCTGAAACGTGCGGATTATTATATCGGACTTTGATAATGCCACAGTCTGAGCGTCTGTCTGTCTGGTCGCACTTAAAGGTGATGTCTGTCTGGTCGCACTTAAAGGTGATGTCTGCACCTGGGATTGTCTTCTAAAAAACTGCAATTATCTCTAAACCTGTCCAAAAACAAAGACTTTTTATAATTTCCTGAAATACATTTGGTGTCGTTGGTGCTTGTGATGTTGTTT